CCCCATGGTGCCAGGTGTGGCCCCGGGCCCTGGGTAAAGGACTTGTGTTCACCTTCAAGAATGCTCATAGCACTCCTCTGCCAGAAGAGGTGCCATCCCGTGGTACAGGGGAGGAAACTGAGGCAGAGAGGCGGTCACTAGGCCCAGGCACGGAGCTAGCCGCTAGCAGAGGCGGATGCTGACCGACAGCCGGCCTCCAGAAACGGGCTGCAAGTGCCGTGCGCAGCAAACCGCGGTTAGTGTCCTGTTTTGCGCCACCATTGTTATTATTTCACTGGTGCTCCGATTCCCACCACTTCCCCACCGTACAAGAGACAGAGGACAGGGAAAGGAGAACGGCAGGGCGGGACCAGCCTTGGCTTATGTAAGACGGCAGCGGCACAGCGCAGGCCTGCGGGATCGCCCATGACCCGCGCCCAGGTTGCCTGCGGGGAGCCGGCGGCCGCGTGGGCGTGGGGGGCTTGCGGCGCGCTGGATCCCCGAGGCTGCCTGTGCACCTGTGCGTGCCGCGTGCGCCCTGCAAGCTCCGGCGCGTCCTCTGCCCCGCGCCGTGAGGGTGGCGTCGTTTAAAGTCATCCGTGTTTGTCTCTCTGGTTGCTCGGTGGACTTTTCTTTTTTCTGCGTTGCTCTGCATGACTTGAAATTCCAGGTAGCCCATTAACCTGGTATTTATGCTGGGATGCAGGTAGGTTTTGACACTGTTTCGGACTGGGGCATTTCGGAGGGCAGGTGGGAGGAGAGGTTCCGCCCTGGAGGCCTGCTGCTGTCTCAGCTCCCTCGTGGCTGTGGCCCCTCCATGGGAGAGGGGCCTCCTGCAAGGCCACCTGTTTGCACCTGTCTGTCTGAGTGACCCACGGCAGCCTGGCGCTGGCCTAGAGGAGACAGGGTGGAGAGACGGGGCGCACCGAGCTTTGCTTGGTTGCTCGGAATACAGAACCCGGCGTTAAGGGTCAGTGTGGCGGAGTGGCCTGGCCCAGGTGGCATGCATTAGTGGCCGGCCTGGAGAAGACCGACTCCTCCTCATTTTAAAGGAAATGCCTTGTATGTGCCTTTTAATACAGAGGCGAAGAAAGAGCAGCGCATTCGCAAACAGACTTCGAAGCTTCCTCATGGTGCACGGCCGGTGAACAGCCTCCCTGTGCAATTGAAAATATCCAATGAGAAACGAGTTGAGAGTGCTGCTGGGGGTGGGTTGGAGTCGAGAGCCCGGGGGGTCCGGGGTGCACCCCAGGACCGGGTGAGATGAGAGAGAACATCTACCCAGCGCCCTGGGGGTCGGCCGCCACCCTGTTTGCAACATTGGCCGCCTCAGTCCCTGCAGGAGTTCCTTATAAAAGCACACCTTCAGCCACACTTTTCAAATTAGCCGCCAAATAGTGTTGGCTCTTGTCAGCGTTCGGATAGTATTTAGCTCTAGTGGATGTTCCAGGGTAGGGGTGATATTTTCTATCCCGTTCGTACTGTCTTAGAGAACATTTACGGAGGGAGGCAGATCGCAGAGGCTGGCAGGCGTGACTGATTAGGGACCGGGCGATTAGCGCGCCGGGTCTTTCGTTTCACTGTGGGGCTCCTTCCTCGGGTGTGCTACACAGGGTGATTAAAGTGAAAAACACGCAGTGGCGTAAAACCTGCAGATGCACTTTTCAGCTGCGTCGCTAGTTCCTTTGGAGACAGAAGTAATTAAATTATTTCCAGTTGTCTGGAGGGTCTTCCGAGAAGCAGGAGCTGAGGCAGCTGTGCAGAGAAGCTTAATGGAAAAGAAAGTGAAAGAGCGTGGGGAGATGTGGAGATAAGGGGACTTCCCTGTGGGCCACTGGCTGTGGCCAAACAAAGGAGCACAGTGCCCAGATAAGCGCTGTTTGCACAGGGACACTGTTTGCACAGGGACGTGCCTGTCTGAGGCTGCGGTCTGGGAGCCGAGAGGGCAGGGAAAAGGGGAATGAAGGGCTTGGCGCCTGCCCTGCCAGCGCAGGGTGTCAGGAAGCTGGTCCCAGCACCTCTGTCCCACCTGCCCACGCAGGCGTGTCGCGTGCTCCGCCCCTGCCACGTGCAGCCGCCCTCCCGAAAGCCCTCTGGCTTATGCAGAGAGGGGAAGGCTGTTCCCTCGGAATGCAAAGTCCAGCCTCCTGTTCTCGATGTTGAAATGGTTTATGAATTGAGAAATTCTTTGCTTGCTTTGGGGGAAAAAAAGATGTCAGGAATCAGGCAGGTGGGTCGGCGGCTGGTGGTGGGAGGGAGCGTGTTCCTGTGGACGCAGGTCTCGGCCTGGCGGGCCCTGCTCTGGGGCCGGGGGAGGCGGTTCCCTCCCCTCCCCGGGGAAGCCCCCCCGCCCCCCGCAGCCGCTGCTAGATGTCGCTTCCATTTAACTCTGAAAAATGCAGTCCTGACAGCCGACTGTTTCAGAGGGAGACACTTAAATCCCAAGCAGTAGGAACTTAAAAGCTGGATTTTTAAGAACTTAAAAGCTGGGTGATTGGGTTTCTCTGAGGAGCTGACCGGGAAACTTCAGGGATTCTCCTGAGCTCGGTTGTGTTTGGGATAAGGACGCTCTAGGGTCGAACTCGGGGTCTCTGCCGGAAGGATCTGCTCAACTTGCATCCACCCGGTGACCCTGCCTCCCCCGCCAGTCCAAGAAGGGGACCCCTCCCAGCCGGCCAGGGCCTTGCCACCGTGCATGAGTGCAGGGAATTTAATCCCCATTGTGGATAACACCTTAATACGCTAAAAGAAGATTACTTATTTTTAAAACCTCCTTTCCGTTTTGTTCTCGTCCATTTGGCAAATGGGGCATCATTATTCCCAGGGCGGGAGAGGCAGAAGGATTTGGCCCTAATGGGGTCCGAGCTGCCCCCCGTGGGCACAGTGGTGGTGTTTTGTTTGGCTGTATCAAAACCGTGAAGCAGGTTCAGACTGTCTTGTTCCTGAGCTTTTCCGGCTGAACTCAGGGGAGGCCAAGAAAGGGCTTTTCTGCTGGCCGGTTGTATTTAGGGGGCAGGGGGCTTGGGGGAGACCTCCAGGGTGTCACTGGGAAAAGATGTTGTGACCTGGAACTGTCCCGTTTAGTGATGGCACTTACTCTAGTGATGTGGCTTGCATGGTTGATTATGAGCTTTGGAGTCTTACGTTGTAGAAGTTTTAAAGTCCTTATGTTGTATCATTTATTTACTTGCTTTTAATCAAGTGCTGGTGTCCTCTGTGTGTCAGAGAGTGGGGTGGTGGGAAAGTTTCCTTAGCGCTGGACGCAAAGAGAAGCCAAGTTCTTTTCTCGCTCGAGTCAAGGCACGCATTAAGCTGTTTTCTTGGTAAAATTCTGATGAGCCCAGTGTAGAAGGTTCTAGAGAAATAACAGAAGCATGCCAAGTCATTGTCTTTTTTTTTTTTTTTTTTTTAAGCAGTAAAAGGCAGAGGCTGTTGAGGCCAAGGACAGAGCATTTTCTTGGTGTCATGTCATCGGCGTGTATAACTCATCTGGCATCAAAGTGTGTCGCTCCAAAAAGGATTGTTTATAGATTCATTTATTTTTAACACGGATAGAGGACATTTCTCATACAAACATCTTTTTGTTCCGACCCCTTGCCGGAACTCTGGAGGTGGCGGAAATATGTAACTAATCCCTGTGAATCAGTCTTTCGAAAGTGACGTCACAAGCATGGGTGAGAATAAGAGTTGTGCAGTTTGGTAGTTTTCAGTTGAGGTCTTTGATCGTGGACGTTAGAAGGCGACCCCGGCCAGGGCTCGGTGGTGCACAGGTTCTGCCTTTGTCCCTGTGGCGGGGGATGGGGGAGGGGGTTGTGTGTGTGCGCACAGAGCCCGCAGAGCTGGGCGTGGGGCGTGGTTTAGGGGGGCAGCCAGTAGATGAAAAAGGAAAAGACGGTGTCCTGGCCCAGAACCGTGGCCAACGGCACACCCCGACAAAGTGACCGTTTTGACAATCTTGGTATTTTAGACTCTGATGAATCCACTAGAGAGTGAAAGAATTTTTCCCTTCCTTCCCAAGTGACTCCCTGCGGTGGGGGTTAGTGATTCCTGGGGAATGTGGAGGTCAGTCTGGCCTCACCCTCGGCCTCCTTATGACTGGGCTGTGGCCAAACACACTGGCCATCCATCTGCCGCACTCCCTCCGCCCGCCCGCCCCCTCCCTGCCTGCGCACACCTGGCACCTGCCTGGCCTGGTACCTGCCCGGCGCTGGGCGGGCTCGGCATTCTGCCGGGGGCGGCCGACCTCGCATTTCACATCTGCTCCTGTGGACAGTTCTGTGGCTGAAACTATGTATTTCTCTGTCTTGATAGCTGTTATCTCTCTGTAGTATTTTATGACTATGTCAGGAATATTCTGTGGTTTATTCCTGACATAATGACTTGTCTATAGATTCTTGAATGAGCTCGCTTTATAATTCTGTTTTTGGTATGGCTGTGTAACTATAATTTTTTGATATTTTGTATATTCTTTGAATTGCTCCCACAGTTTTGAAAACCATGCTACATTAAAAATTACTTAGGTAGAAAAAATTTCTTGTGTTCTGGGTAAATTTTTAAATATTTTTTACTTGTAGCATCTATAATTTATGTTCTTTCGAAGACTCATTTTAGCAAGAGAAGATGGCAAATATCTTTTACTCTGTATGCCTGTGGAAATGTCTGGGGAATTTACAAATCAGCTGTTGTGGAGAAATAGAACAAAGCAGTAGTTAGAGGGGGAAAAAACCTTCATTATATATGGACAGAGCATACCTAGACTGGGGCAAGACAAAGTTTAGCTGTTCAGAAATCCATCAAAAACCAAAGCTTTGGAGTATTGTCTCTAGTTTTAAAACTATTACGTCATAGTCATAGAAAAGAGGTGAGTCTGAACGTCTGTCCGTCCAGGTTTGACGTTCCGACTTACTGTCCTTGCTAACGTGTCAAGTCCAGATTATTTTGTTCAAAGAAATAAAGATGCCCGTGTGTGAGCCCTCCTTTCTCCTGCGCGCAGTTTCATCCTGTACCTGTCTGTCCTGCAGGTGGTGGTCTGTCGCGCAGTGGGCCAGGCCGCCCGGTTCTCGGTGAGCGCGGGGCCCGCCTCGGCCGTGGGCGGGGGCCGCCGGCTGTACCACGTGCGGCTGTCCCCCTTCCATCTGCAGGTAAAGTGGGTAGGCTTTGCAAGTCCCGGGAAAAGGGTCCCCACAAACGTGTAGGGTAGGCATGGTGCGAGTTACACAGCTGTGACTATTCGTGCTTTTATCAGTTACCGTTCATGGCATAACTTTCAAACTGTGAGATTCCATGTTGCATATGTAAGAAAAGTGTGACGCCACACACACATTTTATACTTATATACGTGTGTGTGCGTGTGTATAATAAATCGAGAGGTTGGCCTTTCAGGCCTTTACACAAGCCAGGGGTGCTGCCGACTGTTAGAACAAGGTAAGTGGCGTCTGAAACAAGGAGGGGGTTCTCCTTCCAGCTCAGCACGAGACTGAGAAGTCCGCAGCTTGGGAAAACAGCTGGAGCATTCTTCCTTTTAGTTTTGGAAAAAAGTTAACCTTAAAAGAACCCCTTATTATTTTTATAAGTTAAAAAAAAAGTAGTATTATCATTCCATTATTTTTTGATAACAACAGGCACATATAACATATAATTACATAAAATTTTATAGAGAGAGACTCACAGACCAATGATAATCAGGACAGACTTGGGGACGCTTTTGGACGCCCGATCAGGAGACCGCTGCACGTCTCTCGCAAGAAGCAAAACGTTCACCGTAGCTCTCATCCAGCCAGTGCTTAAAACTTGCAAGCTTCCGGGCCTGTTTCAAGGGTCACCGCCAATTCAACCCCGCGTTTCATCTCCTCTGTCCTGGAACTTGGCTCCTACTGGTGGGGGTGGTGAGCCCAAGTCATACGGAATTCTCAGTTACAAAGGAAGTTGACATTCCATATGCCTTTTTTTTTTTTTTTACAAGGGCATAGTTTTAAATAACAGGGCCGGCAAGATTTTCTAGCTGCCTAAGTGGATTTTTTTCTGAGGTCCACCCCCAGCCCTCACCCCACCCCAGTAACACTCCCCTTCAGAGAACCGAGGAGGTTCAGAGCTGACATCCTGGGCTTGTGAGGCATTAATGCTCCCCTGCACCCCCAAATTCTTTGGACACTGTGGTAGGATCCCACCTTCGGGGTCTGGGTCCTGTTTATCGTACACATTTGACGCACACGTCACAACCGATGAGCCCAGACACAGACGGAAGAAATGCGGGTGTCTGAGGCTGCATTTATTGTATCAGAGCAGTGGTGTGGAGGAACACACTGTATCTTTGATCTCCTAACACGCTTTGACACCAGTGTGTGGGTTACCTCTCCGGGCAGAGGCAGCTGCTGAGCGCTGGTAAATAATTGATGCTGAAGGCAGGAGGCGGTGCCGCCTCTGATGTTTGCAGACCAAAGCACAGACAGGTGCCGGCACCACCGTTCACTCAGCCATCTGCGGCAATGCAATTGAGGTGCACGTTTTCTAGAATTGCCTGAAGTCACAGGGCAAGGGAAGGCATGGTGGAAGTGGTTATGAAGTAGACATCATCATTTTCCTCTTACCCAGCTTCTAGCGTGAGGCGGGCCTCCCTGGTGCTGAGACAGTCTAGAGCGTTCTTTCCTTCCCGAGCAAAATTGGAGGGAAGGGGGGGAGGGGCAGGGGTGGGGGGAGATATGCTGGAAAGATTTTTTGCTTTAGAAAGTGTGTCTGGCTGAAAAATAAAGGGTGCTCCTTCAGTTTGCTACGGCTGCTGAAACAAATTACCGGAAACTTAGCTCCAGACGGTGCAGGTGTAAGAGGTTCTTGTGCAGGAGGTCAGACGCGTGGCGCAGGCTCCAGTCAGGGGCTTGTTAGGGCTGCCCCCCTTCGTGGGAGTCACGGGGCGGAGTCTGCCTCCCTGCTCACTCGGGGTTGCTGGTGGGATTCAGTCCGGCAGGGGGTGGGGACCGAGCCCCTGTTTTCTCACTGGCTGTTGGTGAGGACCACGTTCAGCCCCTGGACGCAGCTCACTCCCCCACCCTCAAACCCAGCAGCCACGCTTTCAGCCCCAAGTCACATGGCCCTGGCCACTCCTCTGCCTTGGAGGACTCGTGTGAGTCCGTGAGGCTCACTCACATCTCCCCATCTCGAGACCCTGACCCTGCTCGCACCTGCCAAGGCCCCTTTGCTGCATCAGGTCACTTAGTCACAGGTTCCAGGGGTAGGGGGTGGACATCTTCAGGGCCATCATTCTGCCGCCCACAGATGGGTACGGTTGGGTGGGGTGTTCTTGGAGACCGCGGCCAGTTACAGCTGACGTGTTCCGGGCTAGGGACAGTAAGAGTGCCGCCACGCTCTGTGCAGGTGTGCGGCAGGCGTGTGGGCGTGTGGGCTGGGGAGCCCACTCCCAGGACTGGGGCAGAGCATCCCAGGCCCCTCTCTCTCTCCTCTCGCCTTCCGGCCTTGGTGATGCTCCGAGAAGGAGAAATGCAAAGCACAGTAAACTACTTCTTTTAAAGAGACGGCCGAGTTTTAATGACATCTGGCCTTCCGCCACCAATGCTGAGTTTCCTGTCTGAGCAGTAGGTTGAGGCTGTGGAATGTGCTGGAAGAGGGAGGGTGGAGAGAGCCTGGGGTCTTCCTTTCCATTTTGAAAGCACGCAGTATGCCAAGGGGAAACCTAAGCAGTCGTCTATGGAAACAAATGAATAAATGAGCACGTACACATACACGCGTGTGCACACACACGTATGCACATGTACAGACACGCACTCACACGCGCACACAGACATGCCCGCACGTGAACACGTGCACACGCTCACACGTGCACACACTGTACACTCGCACGCACGTGCACACGCAGGCAGGCACACAAGCGCACATCGAGGCTCTGGTGGGTGGAGCAGCTCTCCTGTAACCTTTTATGTTTTTTAATAGCTGGAGCTCCACCTGCAAGAAAAGAGAGAGGACATCCAGGTCACGTGGTCCTTCATCAGCGTGCCGGAAATGGCCATTAAGGTGGAGCCCAAAGCACAGGGGGAGGTCAGTCCGTAAGTCTGTGTGGTTTTTCCGTCGGTGTGCGTGAGAGCGCGTGCGCACGGGCAGCCCGGCGGGGAGCTGAGGCTCTGCGCACCTCCCATGTGCCAGCCTCCTCCCGGCCCCCAGCCGCCCTCCCCAGGCTGACGTGGGCCTGGTGGGACGTGAGATGGGCTCCTGGCTTGACAGGGCGCTGTGGGGTGGGGGCTTTGATGGACTTAATCAGGGCTCCGGACCTGGGCTGCCCCTGGACTCGCCTGGCCACTTCTCAAACTCCGGAAGCCCCACCCCCACCCTAGTGCGATGTAATCGGCCGGAAAGATTTTAGCACTCTGTGCAGCCAAGGGGATGAAACCGGGTCTGGCACCCACCGCGTCTGGCTGTCACACCCTGTCTCCACCGTGAAGGCGCGTCACTCGTAACTCAGGCTGAGGCCGAGTCCCCAGGCTGACTCCTAAGGGCAGGGCCTCCTTGCTTTCCACGGTTTTTATGAGGATGCCTCTAAAATCTGGGGGCGATTTCCTTCCTGTTTTGCGTGCTTTTAGGTGGCTGAGGAGGTGAGCTTGGGAGCGGGAAGGGGGCGTGTGACGTAGATTTGATGGCTCTCTCCTCTCCCCAGGACCAGGTGGCTGAGACAGGTGCGGTCTCCGACTCCCTCAAGGACATCCTGAAGCGCGCGGTCGGCTCCGCCTCCCCGTCGGTGGTGCTGAGCGCCCGGCCTGTGACTGTGACGGAAGCGCAGGTGAGCCCGTTCGGGGTCTGCTGCTTCTGAGCCCTGGTGGGGTCACGGGCGCCTCTCTGGGAGGATCCGTGTGCATTTCCATGTTCCGGTGGGAGAGCAGAGATTGCACAGATGCTGAAAGACGCTGACCAGGGTGTCGGGATAGAGCAGGGTCCTCACACTTTTTAAAAACAGGGCCAGTTCACTGTCCCTCAGGCCGTTGGAGAGCGCGCACTGCGGGCCCGGGACGAGTCGGCTGCTAAGCAGGACAGGCAGCGGCGGCAAAGACACCCGGCGGGCTGGATAAATGTGCTAGGTGGGCCGCATGTGGCCCTCGGGCCGCAGTTCGAGGACGCCTGGGATAGAGCCTCAGGTTTGCACTCGGGGCTCCAGAGCTCCACGTGGTGGAGGGGAGAGGTGCGGGGCCCCTGGGCAGAGTCCCACCCCGACCAGGCCCTGGCTCTCGGCTTTCGTTGAGCCCGAACTTGACTTTTCACGGTCTACTCAGAGCCTCGGACCTCACCCTTCCAGGACCGAGGTACCTGGGACGTGAAATTAGCCGTGAGAACCCTGCCCCAGCAGGGCAGGGCGCAGTGGATGGGCTGAGACGACTGAGTCCCGGCTGGGGCCAGCCTGCTGCCCGGCCCCGCCCTCAGCACCATCTGAAGCTTTATGTCCCTTGGGTGGCGCGGAGCAGAGGAGGCTGCTCTCATCCTGGAGGCCACCTTTTCCATCCTGCCTGCCTCCCTCCCCGTCCTCGGCCATCTGCACCACCTGACTGGGGTGGCGGGCGGCTGCTTCCCTGGTTAAATTCCTGTCCGGAGCTTTCGTCCTGGTGAGCAGCACATCACCAGCCCCCTGTTCAGCCACCAGCTGGTCCTTTCATCGTGACCGTGTGAAACAGGCACTCGCGGTCCTGGAAGTCTGTGGGCACTGATTTTTATGTGGCGTGATTTACCACCTAGTTCTTGGCGAAGCCAGTTTGAAAACGTAACTCTTAACGCAGTCCGCGTGGTGCCGACCCTTGGTCTCTGGCCTCATCAGGGCAGGTGTCACCAACTGTCGGCAGGCAGGGGCTGGAAACGTTGGTTCTTTGGACACACGTCAGCTCGTCACTGTGCTTTGTGCTGGGCTCTGGCACCTGGGGGGTCACGAGAATATAGGAAACCACTGTGACCCTCCGGATGTGTACAGTGCAGCAGAGTGGCAGTGGGCCGCGGTGGCAGTGGGCGGGGGCTGGGGGCTGGCGGGTGTCATGCAGGCTGCCCAGGGCTCCGGGCCCCGACGGGACTCAGCCACCCCAAAGACAGGGGGAGGCTGTGCTTCCCGGGCGGCGAGAGCAGAGTCTCAGCCCTGTCCCTTTTAGTAGTGCCGTCACCGTGGTTTATTTCAGATGGGAGTTGACGGTTCTGAAAATGACAATAAATTTTTAATGTCAAAATTGAGAAATGTCATAAAACGGTAGCATGTGTTTAGAATGCATGGATTTAAAAGATAAAAGGACCCAAACTATTATAAATCCAATAATGCTTTTAAATACATTTGCAGAGTTTGTTCATCAAAATAGCATAGGTAGTATTACAGTGGTCGGGGTTTTCCAGAGAAACGGAAGCAATGTGTGTGTGCGTGTCTAAATAAATCTGTTATAAGGAATCGACTTGTGCGAGCGTGAAGTTCTGACAAGGCTGGAAGTCCACAGCAGACAAGCTGGAGGCCCAGGAGGCCCGTGCCTTAACCCTAGTTCGAATCTGAAGGCCTGAGACCCAGAGGAGCCGATAGCGTGAGCCCCAGGCCTAGCCCGGCCGGCTCCGGACCCAGGAAGCACCGGCGTCTCCGAGCAAGGCGGAGGGCAGGGCAGGACCCAGACCCGGCTCAGGGCAGAGGCGGGAGCTCTTACCCGTCATTCGCAGGAGGGCAGCGTTTTGTTCCACTGAGGCCTTCGACTAATTGCGTGAGACCCCCTCCCCTCCACAGCAGGGAGGAAAGTCTGCCCTACTTAGCCTACTGGCTGCAGTGTTAATCTCACCCAGAACACCCTCCCAGATACATCCAGAATCATCGTTGACCAAATCACTGGGCACCCTGGGCCCATCACACGCACAGAACTGAAACAATGTTTCATCTCCTCCCTGGCATGTGGGTTGCTCTGGCCACAGTGCTCTCGTGCCTGGATTTTAGGGACTCTGCAGTGACCCCCCCAGCACTCCCAGCTCACGTTGGGAAGCGCCTGCTCCAGAGCAGTGCTTCCTACACGGGGACCCCAGAACACTAGTGCTGCTGGAGGTGTTCGTAAGTGTCCCCCAAGGAGCACTCGGGTCAGATCGGAGCCAGGGCCTCTGCCTGCAGGGTTCTCGCTGCAGAGGGGCCTGCGCTGCGTCCCAGAAGCCCTCTGGGTTTCCCCACGCTCCCAGTGAAAGGCGCCCCTTTTACAAAACACTCGTGGCAGTGAGTGAGTTTTCCAGTTTGGAAAACACTGGTTTGAAGGTGGGCTTCTTGAAATTTGGGGGTACTCTCTTGTACCTGATGGGGGACATGTTGCGATGGCAGCTGGGGCCAGCTGTGCCTGCCTGCATGCCCTCATGTGTGCAATGCCAGGCGATGCTTAGGCCTCAGGTGGACGTCACACTCTGCCTGCAGGTGGAAACAGGTGCGGGCTGGTGGGCCTGGCTGCTTCTGCCTGGCCGTGTCCTGCTCAGGGCTAGTGGGCAGGGGGCACCTGCAGCCTGCAGAGGTCATCCTCGCGCTCTTAGCACCTGCGCTGGCCAGACAGCGTGCGCCCATGGCAACCCCGGCTCCCATTCTGCACCCACAGGGAGTTTTGGGGCCCTGCTCTGTGGCTGAATGCCTTGCTACTTGCGCTTGCTTTATTAGGGTAGAAAAGGCCCCCAGGCAGTGGAATGGTGAGGGCTCATCGGCTCCCTCCCTCCCCATAAGAAGGGGAAGTTGTTTGAGGGCAGACCCCAGGGCTCAGGCCCCTGTGCGGGTTTTATGTAGACCCCCTCTCCTCTCCGCGACAGGGGTCCAGCAGCCACCTCCTTGGTCCTTGGTCTCCCCATGGCCAGTGCTTTTTATTTCCTGTTTCGCAGAGTCTACAGCGGGCTCCATCTGCTGCTCAGGAATCCTGCCCTCCTAAGCCTCCGCGGGCTCACGAGCTCAAACTGCTGGTGAAGAACATCCGCGCCTCGCTGCTAAACGATCCTGGTGCTTCAGGTGGGTGGCGGTGGGAACCTGGCCTGTCCGTGCAAAGGGGCTGTCCCTGCACCCGGGCGAGCAGAGGGCTGCCTCACGGCTCTCTCGGTGGCCCTGGGCTTCTCCTGTGGCAGCCTCCCGGGGGCCCGCAGCTGGGCCCTGCCTCTGTTTGAGCAGAGCGCTGGAAGAACCTAACGGTAGGACAAGATGGTTAAAAATCCACCTCTCCTTTTGCACGTGGAAGGCGGTGGGAAGAAAGGCTTATGATTGGTTTGCCCTCTGTCTTTGGTCTGAAACGTTCCTGTCTTTCTTTTCCTTTTTTTGACAATTGAACCCATAAATACAAGTTAAGCTCCCAGACCAGCATGCAGCTTCTGCTTTCCTGGAAGTGGGGGTGCAGGGTAGATGACTGATGGGGTGTCCTAGGCCGTCAGCTCACTGGGGACCCTGGAGCTGGGAGATGATGGCCACTGTCAGAGCCAGGACTAGAACAGACAGTGCAGAGCAGACAACCCTTTCTGGGTGATTCTGCATGGTTGCCGAGGCCCTAGACCCAGAGCCGCCAGGGACAGGACACTTCTTTACACCGTGACTCAGTTTTGCTAAGAGTAGGAAGTTCTTTTCGATCATCTGAGAATGTTAGAGGCGACTTACCTTTATTTGCAAGGGGTTTCTTCCAGTTCCAAAAGCACAGACAGGCCACATCTAACAACTGAGACCTTTGGCCATGCTACTCATGGATGATTTTTTTTGGTAAAAGCGCTCATATGTTGCCCTTTGAGCCTGTCCTGCCCAGAAGCTGAGAGCACAAGCTCCCTGGACTCCTTTGGCCAGGGCTGGGGTCCCAGCTCCAGCACGTACCCGCTGTGAGACAGGGCCCTGTTCCTGCCTCTGCTAGGATGTCCCCCTGCTGGGTCCAAGTCTCCCCTTGCGGGTGATTGTGAAAGTAGGAGAATGTGAGCAGGGTACTTAACGCGGCCTGCGGCATGGTAAAGGAGAACAGGTGCTATTGATTATGGATTGCACAGCATACCAGGGACCTCGTGCCACAGGGCTAAGCCTTGCCCCAAAGCAGAAATAGCTGTTCTCTAGTGAAAATGTCCATTATCTGCATCAGATACCCCCCGAAAGGCCTTTGACTGAGCTGCGGCGGGTATAATAGCACCTGCCTGTTGTAAGTAGGGAAGTGAGTTCCTTGTGAGGTAGCTCCAAATTTAGGAATCATCCCAAATTTAAGGTTAGGCTTTGGCAGCTGTCAGCCTTGTCTAAAAGTGGGGCCGTGTGTCTCTGCATGTAATAGTGCCACCTCCAGCGAGGGTCCCCCATCAGGGAGGCTGCACCTGAGGCCAGGGCTGATGGAGGGAATAGGGCACTTGGGGTCAGTCCAGGGCTGTTGACATCAAGTGCAGGAAAAAATTCCTTAACCCCTGTGAAGTTTTAAGAGTTAGTAAATGGCAAATGAAAGAAAGAATGCACTCTCAGAAGTAGGTAAGCCAAGAATTTAGTTATTTAATTTAGCCTTTCTTTTACATGCAAACAGTGTCTTGGTGCAATTGAAAAATATAAAAGCCAACGCGATGTCTCCTTGTTTGGTCGCAGGCGACACTAACACAGTGTGCGTAGCTCAGCTGAACGAGCCTGTTCAGAGGTTCTCCAGCGCCCCAGTGAAAGACACTACCAGCCTCACCTGGGAGGAAGAATTCACCTTGTGAGTACAGCCTGGGTTGTCCTAGGCCTGGTTTTCCACACCTGTGTCTGTTCACGACTGCCAGATCCTGAAATCATTTCGTAGCACTGTTTCTGCCAAAAAAAAGAATAAACAAAAACTAAAATGTGTCTTAAGCATCTTAAAGGTGGCTTTACGTCAGACGTGGATTTCCTTTTAAAGGAGGTTCCCTGGCACCAGTTTTATTCTCATGCCCCGTGGGCCAAGAGAGAACTGTCGCTGGGTGTCCCACTCGCCTTAGAGACGCATCCCACCCAGAGCAGAGTAGAAGGAAACTCCTGATTGGCACCAAAAGCTGACAAAGGGAATAGAAAAAGGGAAAAGTTTAGAGCCCTTATAAATAACGATGTAAGGATCACAAGTAAAATATTATCAAACAGAATCTAGCAGCACAATAAAAATAAAACCAGTTGATTTGAGACCAGCCTAAGCAAGAACAAAGCCCTATTTATTTCTAAAAGATATAGAAAAATTAGCCGGGCATGGTGGTGCACGCCTGTAGTCCCAGCTACTCGGGAGGCTAAGGCAGGAGGATCGCTTGAGCCCCCAGGAGTTTGAGGCTGCAGTGAGATATGATGACACTGCTGCCCTCCAGCCTGGGCAACAGAGCAAGACCCTGTCTCAAAAGTAAAACAAAATAAAATCAGTTGAGTTCATACCAGCAGTGAAGGATGGTTTAATGTAAAGGACTTAATTAATGAAATTCATTGTATCACTAGAGCAAAGGAAAGAATAAACTTATTATCTCTTTATATGCCCGAAAGACATTCAGTGGTATTTAATACCCATTCTTAATTTTTAAGGAAAAAAAATCTTAATTTTTAAAAACTTAATTAGAACAAAATTTATAGAAAGTTCTTTAATAAGATTTTTTTTAAAACAAATCACTGAAAATGGTAAATATCAGAAGTAATCCCACCAAAGTCAAGAGAAGGATGCTCATTATTTTGTTCTAGAAGTACTGGTTAATGCAATTAGATAAGGAAAAAAATGATATTCAAATACTGAAAACAAAAGGGCAAAACTAATCATTTAGAGATAATATTGTGCTATTCAAGATATGGCCTATTCAAGTAAGTCGACTAAAACTATTAGAAATAACAATGGACATGGGATAGAAGTCAATAATATTCGAAAAACTACTAGAAATATTAAATAATAATTCAATAAAGTAGCTGACTACCAAAATGTTGAATTCAATTGCTATCTGCTGAGTGAAAAATAAATAATTAGAAAAAGTCATGGAAGAAAATGTCCCATATATATATGTGTATGTGTGTGTACGTGTGTGTGTAAAGGGCTTTTATAAATCATTAATAAAAATGTGAACACTCCCTTAGAAAACTGAGCAAAATTCCTAAACTGGAAATACAAAAGCCAGAACTATAGATGGCCGTAAACTTCAGAAAAGATGTTCAATCTCAGAAATAAGTAAAGCAATGCAAGCTTGAACGAAAGAGAGAGATCGTTTTTCACCCTGAAGGTTGGCAAAGACTAAGAGGGCAAGACAGGCAGTGGGGGTGTAAATTGGAGCAAATGTTACAGATGTCATCCATAGGTATACATTTAAAACCCTCAAATGCATGTGCCTTCGACTGGCAATTAAGTTTTCCTAAGGAAATAATCACACAGTGTGTGCAAAGATAAACCTGTATCTCAGCTTATTTATAGTCCTGAAATCCTGGGAGCCGCCAGTCCCTTATGAAGGGCTGGTTATTAATGGGTTGCCTAAGTAAAATCTCTCAAGGCGAAATAGCAGAATACTAGAGACCCATTAAAAGTGATGTTGCTCTGTAGTGACATGGAAAGACACCCAGGAAATCTTCAGTGGGAAAAATAGATTGTAGAGGAGAAGGGAGATAGGTCAGGCTCCTGGTTTTGTCTTCAGATCATTGTATAGCTGTGCTTTCAATATGCAACTGCTAGCCACGTGTGGCTCTTTAAAGTTAATGAGAAGTGAACAAGTTTCCTTTCAGTAGCTCAGTTTGCACTGGCCACAGCTCGTGCTCCGTGGGGCTGCCTGGACGTTACCTGTCACCACCACAGGAGGTCCTGCCGGCTGCTCTGGAAGGCCGGTCCCCAGACGCTGGCAGCGACTGCTTCCAAATGGAGAGGCTGCAGATGATCTTTCTCTCTCTGCTTCTGTGTCTCTGTAGTTTATTAAATACCAACAGCTTTATTTCTCTCTGTAACCAGAAAAAAAAATAAATAACTATATTTTGAAGAAATAATAAAGCATTGTATTTATAAGGATTCACAGCCTTGTTCCCTTTCCACAGTGAGCTGAACGCCAAGTCGAAGGAGTTACACCTGCAGATTTCGGAGGCTGGCTCAGAAGGTGGGTGTTTTGAGCAGAGGGACAGAGGCCCAGCCTTGGGGAAGGTCACCCGGGGCCTGGGGGAGGGAGGGGGAACAGACCCCTCCCTTAAACTGCTCTGGGTTTTCCCCAGGGAATGTTTGGTGGAAAAGCAGTTTCAGTCATTTACAAGGTCATACATTTTGGGGAAATGTTCAACTTGGTTTTTCGGGGGTTTTTTGTTTTTTTTTTTTTTTAGAACAAAAAAAGTTGCAAAATCTTTTATTCGACACTTCTTGGCTTAGAGAAGCAGTTCTGAACCCTCCTATCCTCAACAGACCTCCTTTTAAAAAAAAATTTTAGTTGTGTCAAAATACACGGAATATAAAATTTACCATCTTAGCCATTTTTAAGTATACAGTTGAGGGGCATTAAGTGCTTTTGCACTGCTGTGCGGCCAGGCCATCGTCACTACCCTCCGCAGAACTTCCCGTCCCCATTCTACTTCCTGTCTGGGTGAATTTCGAGTGGCTTTTCCCTGTAAAGTAAGCCACAGTGGCTTAAGCGGGACTCACAATTTAGGTACAAGAAAGCAACAATTAGACTCAAAGTCACTAAAGTGAACGTGGACCTGTGTGTGTGCATATATACAAGTCAGTAGTTTCAATATTATTAGATTTTTAAAAATCCCTGTAAACATATTAAAATTGGGATGGGGGTCCCTTGCCTGGCTTATCAAGCCACGAAATCAAAAGGTAGTTACTTCTCCTAACCAACTAGCTGTGTGCTAGTTTTTAGCAAGAATTCCGAGGCAATTCCCTTGATCCCAGGGTCATGAGATAACCGGGCTGCTCATGAGATAAGAACTGGGGAGAGGGGGAGGGGTGGGGCATTGTTTCCCTGGGGACAAGGCGACTTCTAATCCCGCCCTTGGGTCAACATTCCTGCTGCCCATCCAAATTTCATCCCAGCCCAGCCTGATGGAATCGATGACATTTCACACTTACAAAAACGATACGAAGAGCAACCATATAACCTTTACTCTGACTCATGCTTCTTTAACATTTGCCCCATTTCCTTTATTCTTTGTGCTCACCATTGGTCAGATACATTTCTCTCCCTCTCTCTCCCCCCTCCCCCCTTCTCCCTTCCCCCTTCCCCATCCCTTCCTCCCCCTCATGCTGTCTTTACACACACACACACACACACACACACACAATTTGAGGGTAATTAGTGTGTCTTGGCCCTGTTCCCCTAAATTTGTTAGTATTTATTTCCTAAGAATAGTGATGTTCTCCTCCGTGTCCACGGTACAGCTATCGGCTTCCTGAATTTACACTGATGCGATTCTTTCATCTACCTGCCCGGTGTTGTCACTGGACCCAGTGATTTCCTTCCCTGTCACTCCCGCACTGGGTCAGATACTGCCTCTGGCAGTCACATCATCCATTTAGCCTCCTTTGCCTTGCCACATTTACACAGCTTCCCTTGTCTTTCATGACATTGACTTTTTAAGAGTATTTTCAAGTTACAGAGATAAGGGAAACCCCCATCTATGACTTGGCCCTTCAGGCACCTGAGACCCTGGGAAGACCCACATCAGCATAATATAACCTGTTTCCTGGCCCATCAACGGGTCTATTGCCTGGCATCAGCATAACACTGAATCTGTTGCCTGGCGCATCAACATAATATTAACCTATTTGGTGACACTTCAACTAACCTACACCTGATACCCCACCCCTTGGACCACCCCAACTTAATAAAACTGGGAAAAATCCGGTAGACAGTGGGCGGCAAGGCCCCTCTGAGCCCGCCGGCGAAATAAACTTTGATTCTTCCACTCTCCGTGTGCCACTCGGTTTGTCCTCGGGACCACCCGCTGTAACACCTGCTGTCACAACAGGACGCAAGTCAGGAGCGTGTGTGTGCTGGTTGTAGCGGTTCACAGTGACCTTCCCGCTGTCATGGAACCCCGTGGAAACATCAGCCGCACTTTTTGCTTGTCTCCCGTCTTTCTAGGTCTGTTGGCGGTGACGGCGGTTCCTTTGGACTTATTTAAGAAGCAGCCTTCTGGGCCACAGAGCTTTACGCTGACCAGCGGGCCCGTCCCCGGCAGCTCGGTGCTGGGTTCGGTCACGGCAGAGGTACGGCGACGTCCTCCCCCGTGGCCGAGCTCCGGCTTGATCCGCTTGAGCTAAGAGCACCGTAGCTCGCGTCCGCCGGAGTCTGGCTCTGGCTTCCCCGTGAATTAGAAGCTCACCTGAGAAGCCAGGCTGTTTCACGCCGTGCACTTCCCGGCTCGGGTGGGACACCTCCTGCCCGAGGTTGGGTCGAGTCAGGTCGTCAGCTGTAGGAAGTAGCTGTCCACGAGGCCGCTCCATGGGCCCAGCCCAGACAGGCCTTTCGGCATTTCGTGGGGTTCTCCGGCTTTTATTCCATCGCCAAGTCGTGAGTTGGCTGTTGGAGCTCGCATCTCTCGGCTCTGTGTCAATTCTGGGAGAATCCAGATTAACTGGAAATGCTAGGCGGCATTAAGGGAAGAGATCATTGGTTATTTCCAAAGAAGGCAGAGTTCCCTGCTCCGCAGCCTTTGCACTCGCTGCAGAGCAAGTAACGTTAGTCTTCTCTGCAGTTTTCTTACGTGGAACCCGGCGAACTGAGATCCTGGCAGGCCCCTGCCTCTGCTCCTGCGGCGAAGATAGAGAAGGACCGCACGGTGATGCCCTGTGGGACCATCGTCACCACTGTCACCGCCGTGAAGACCAAGCCTCGCTTCGACGTGGGCAGGGCGTCCCCGCCGGGCTCTGGTGAGGCTGTGGGGCGGGCGCGGCGTCAGGACGCGCCGCGAGTGCCGGGGCTTGCTGAGGACATCCCGTGGCACAGGAGGAACGGGGTCGGCAAGACCCGCGCTTAGTTGTTGTTGTTGTTGGACGATTATCTTTCTCTTCCGTCCAGTAAACTCATGATTAGTTGAAGCGGGGCTTCAACCCCATAGCGGAACCTAAAATCTAGACGTTATAAGCAGTTACGCTTTGACACAAGTGCAACCGAGCTACGGCGAGCACTCCGTTACATTTGTGTGGGAACGGCGCGCTGCCTTAAAAACTCGGCATGAGTGGTCAGTGTAGACTTTCCTATGTTAAAGATGATTTATTAGAAGGCTTGAGGCCGGGCGCGGTGGCTCACGCCTGTAATCCTAGCACTCTGGGAGGCTGAGGCTGGAGGATCGCTCAAGGTCAGGAGTTCAAGACCAGCCTGAGCAAGAGCGAGACCCTGTCTCTACTAAATATAGAAAGAAATTAATTGGCCAACTAAAATATATAGAAAGGCTGGGCGCGGTGGCTCACGCCTATAATCCCAGCACTCTGGGAGGCCAAGGCGGGTGGATTGCTTGAGGTCAGGAGTTCAAAACCAGCCTGAGCAAGAGTGAGACCCCGTCTCTACTCTAAATAGAAAGAAATTAATTGGCCAACTAATATATATATATATATATAGAAAAAATTAGCCGGGCATGGTGGCGTATGCCTGTAGTCCCAGCTACTAAGGAGGCTGAGGCAGGAGGATCGCTTGAGCCCAGGAGTCTGAGGTTGCTGTGAGCTAGGCTGATGCCACGGCACTCTAGCCCTAGCAACAGAGTGAGACTCTGTCTCAAAAAAATAATAAAATAAAATATATAGAAAAAATTAGCTGGGCATGGTGGCACATGCCTGTAGTCCCAGCTACTCGGGAGGCTGAGGCAGGAGGATCGCTTGAGCCCAGGAGTTTGAGGTTGCTGTGAGCTAGGCTGACGCCACGGCACTCTAGCCCCAGCAACAGAGTGAGACTCTGTCTCAGAAAAACAAACAAACAAAAAAAACTGCATAAATAAATAAATAGAAGGTTTGACATGATGTCACTTAGATCCAGCTGAGTTCTACACCTGTCCCCACAGGCACAGCCTCTTAGACAACTTGTATGACTTATCATTTTTTTTTTTTCAATTTTTGCTATGTTTCTGCTTGTGCAAAAGCAGTGTCTTCCCAGAGCAGATCACTCGGCAGGGTGCAGGAATGCACAGTAGCGAGGGAAATTCAGGCTTCATTGAAATGTTTCTGCAATTGTATTTAAGCCTGGGCACCCAGCACCACTCTTGCCTCTGCTCCCCTCACCCCGCCACCCCCCCTAAGAAAGAATAAGAGAGGCTGTTGGGCCTTAAGGTTTCCGCAAACCTTGCCTCTGCCCGCTGCCCTCACTGCGGCTGCCGAGAGAGGCGCCATGGCCCTCCATGGCGACAGTGAGGCGGCCCTGGGTGACCGGGGTCTCTCCCCGGCAGAGTCTCCCGCGAGGACGCCCGTCAAGGTGAAGGTGGTCGAGAAGGACATCTCCGTCCAGGCCATCGCCTGCCATGGCGCCCCCGTCAGCAAGACGCTGTCTTCTTCAGACACAGGTAACGCGCCCGCCCACCTGTCCTCCGCTTAGCGCCCGTGGGGACTTGGGAGCTGTTCTCCCAGCCCCAGCCGCCTTCACCTGCCGAGAAGCAGACACCTCCTTTTCAGAGTCTGGGAAGAGTGGTGGTGTTTTGGCTTGTTTCTGAGCAGTGAGTGCGGGAGGCGGAGGGGGAGAGAGGGAGATCCAAAGTGATGGGAGCCAGCAGTGGCGCTCACGTCCCTGCTCAGTCTCGGCGGCGTCAGCACAGCAAGCACGAGTCCCAGCTGAGGCTTGCTTCCTTCGCTGCACACAGTTTCTGAACACTCTTGTTTTCTCTCGTTCGGCACCCTCGTCACGTCACCATCACGTGAGCAGGACTCGGGAACGTAATCTTCACATCCACTTCACCTTCCCCACTGTCTGCCTAAGCCTGTTCAGTGGGAGTGCTGTCCCCCCAGCTCTGGCTGCAAATTCCCCGTTTTTGTGGCCACTTTCGGATAACAGACCTCTTTAAAGACAGCCTCACTACTAACCTCTCTTTAAATCACATGGCAGTCTCATTCGGGGGGCTGACTTCCAGCCGCCAGAGGCAGGGCAGGTGGGCGCGTCCTCCTTGCTCATCTCTCCCCGTTGACTGAGCCCACTGAGGTCCCAGTGGAGCAAGAAGTGGGGGCGGGCAGCGGGTTGCAGGGCGGTCCTAAGATGGTTTTCTAGTCTCTCAGTCTGGTGGAGCGTAAATGGCCTCTTCCCGCACAGGTGTTTCATAGTTTTGGGACACTGTCCTGCCACGGGCAGCTTCCTGGACACAGACAGGCCCTGCCCCTCCTCTGGCCGCCACTCCCTGTGGTCCTCCCCAGCCTTCCCCCCTCGGTGCAACCCCTCGCCTCATACTGCAAGGACTTTGCCTGGGCAGGACCCCTTTTTAAAAGACCCCGGGCTGACGTTCCACTTAGGGCTCCTCATCCGGTCTGTGGCCAGGGCAGCTGGCCCCCGGGGGTCCCTCTCCACAGCACAGCCGGGAGCCCAGCTGTGCCCACACACGCACCTGTGCTTCCTGCCGCCGTCCGCAGTGCTGAGTGGCCGCTTCAGGGACTGTCCAGCCTGCAACGCCTGAGCTATTTATACTCTAGCTCTTTCTGGAAAACACTTGCTAACCACTGCTTGTGGGCCGTCTCCACCATCCCTGGAAGTGCCCGCGGAGGTGCTTAGTTCTCGCCAGCGGACTCAATGCTGCCTTCTCTCCGGCAGAGCTGTTGGTGTTGAACGGCTCGGACCCCGTGGCTGAAGTGGCCATCCGACAGCTCAGCGAGTCCTCCAAGCTGAAGCTCAAGTCTCCGCGGAAGAAGAGCACCATTATCATATCAGGGATCTCCAAGGTGCCGTCCCAGCGTGGGGGGGGGGTGGGTCTGTCAGGGACCAGCTAGAGGTCAGCCCGATCACGCGGTCAGCAGCCATGGGGTTGCCAGAAGTTTCCGTTTACAAACGTCAAATCCCGATCCTCACCCGGCAAGGGAGCGAGGCATGGAGTTTTGTTTATGCAGTTCTTCCTGCTTGTGAAGGAAACCTGCAAGTTTCTCACTGTGACGCTTCGGCTGCTGAGGCTGGGGAATGGTTTCAAGAGAAAGTACTGAAAGTGAGGGACGTGGTGTGAGAGCCCCGTTGCCGCGACCCCGCCCCCCCCCCTTGCTGTCCCCACAGGGGTTTCTCATGCTCCAGGTTGCACATTTCCGGAGCACTTTGATTTTTTGCAGTGCGTGTTCATTTTTTTTGCACTCAGAGGGCAGGGAGGAGTGCCGTGTCCTCCGTGGACACCCTGGCTGTGTCCCTTCTCCGGCTGTGGCATGCCTGCTCAGCGCAGGGTCTGCTCAGCGCAGGGCTGGGTGTGAGGCCGACCCGACCCGCCCAGTCTGGAGGAGGTCACTCTTAGGCTGGGCGCCAGGCACGGGCCTGCGCTCTCCCTCCACTTTTCCAAAAGAACAAGTGGGAGGAGGGTGGGAGGTTTGGGTTTGGAGCAGGAGGGGATGAGGAGGAAGCAGTGTGAGCTTGCAGGGTGGACGAGCCACTGCGAGGTCCCCAGGAGGGTGGGCAGGCCAGCGGTGTGAAGACCAGACCCTCGGCCACTGGGATCGGGCCCAGAACCGGGCCGGGAAGGGGCTGAAGAGGAGTCACCCGTGTCACTGTTGTACTAGGGGGCAGGTGGCCTTGCTCCACGTCCCCACGGCGCCAGCCCACAGTGGCCGTGAGCACGTCTCCGGTGGCAGCCAGCAGGGCCCACGGGGCGCAGTGGCTTTCTTCCGTCCCGGGGGAGCGAGTGAGGGCGTGAGGGCCAGACCTACGGTCCTCCCTGTACTTTCTCTGGGGTTTTATTTTAGAATCATCAGGAGCTCTTGGAACTTACCCTTTAAAGTTCTTAATCCACTGCGGTTAGTATTGATATCTTTATCAATGCCAGATCGTGCCATCTCGAGGCCGTGGGCGCTCTGCAAGCCAGCATAGAGGCAGAAAAGCGCCCCTGTCCGTTGTCACTACGCAAACTCCCCATGTAACTGCCTCCCAGGCCGAGGACAGCCTGACCACCTCCCCAAGGAGCCCGCCATACCCCCTCCCGGTCCTTCCCCGCACCCGGGGAACCACCGTCCCCATCTCAACCCCACAGATGCATTTGGCACCTAAATGTTTGGCACACAGTTATGATTCTTAAGAAGACACAAAGTGTATACTGATGAATTTCTACTTGCAGGTAACATGAAATTACCTGCACATAATTTCTACTTGCAGGGACACAGGTTAAGAGACATGCTAAGATTCAAACGCCCACGCTCACTTCCTTCGCCCCTGTCTTGCTGTGGGCTGCTTAGGAGGAAGCGCTCACTCTGGAGTCTCACGTGCTACCCACCCTGCTCGGGGGTGGGGCAGGCCGTTCGCTGCTCCCCGACCCCTATGGCCGGGGCTCGGGGCCAGGCCCCTCGCTGCTGGGCGGCCCTGAGCGGCTGTAAGCAGAGACCGGCCCTCGCCCCTGGCCGTGTGAGCAGCTGCCGCGCGTGCCGTGGACCCGGCTTTTCAGGTCCCCAGACCCCCCTGCTCCCACGCACCCCTCTCCTCTTCCCCTGCGCCGACTTCTTCCTTCGCCTGACGGTGCGTTTTGCCCTGCAGACCTCACTCTCTCAGGACCACGCCGCCGCCCTGATGCAGGACTACGCGGCCTCCATGGACGGCGCCACGCAGGAGGACGCCTCGCCCCCCCCAGACTCGTCCTCGGCCTGCGCCCCGCCGGAGGAGGACCTGCCAGCCCAGGCGCCCCCTGACCCCGCGCCCCAGGAAAATGACCTAGACGCCTGGGACCTGGAGAAGGAGGCCCCGGCGGCCGCGTGGGGCGGCCCAGCCCTGCTGGAGCCCGACGGGGACGAGCTGTCGGAGAGCTCCCTGAGCGCCTCGGAGCCGGGCGCCACCAAAAAGCGTAAAGGTACCTGCTCCCTAGTGCCCCCCGCACCCCCTGCTTGGCGGCTTCGCTCTCCTGCTGGATTACAGGTGGAAGTTTAGTTCTCATCATCTGCTTCCTTTCCCTTTGTCCTCCACAAACTCCATCCCGACCTCACTCCCGTCCAGAAGCACCCTGGGCTGGATGCTTGAGCCATTTAGCGTCCACGGAAGGGAGGCACATCCTGTCTGTGAGCGGCCGCTAGTTTTCTCAGGGCCAGCTAGTGCTCCTGCCCGGAGGCGTCCCTTCCTCCGTCTGGGCTCACTGCACCTGCTCTCAGGGTCACCAAGAGCCACACCCGGCGAGGGGGCCAGACAGACCCGCAGCAAAGCCAGGCAGAGACCGGGTCTCCTCCAGCCGTGGACATGGGCACCTCTGCCCACTTGGCACCTCTTAGACTGTCCCCTCCAGCTACCACCAAACCAAACCTCACCACCAGGACCTCATAGGATCGAGGGGACAGAAGCTCCCTAGAGTCACGAGTCGATTAACTTAATATGTGCGTAGCAATGAGGTAATCACTTCATTAGGAAAATGGATTATTTTCTATTGGCACTAAACCATTGCTTTTAAATTATAAATGTCTTTAAGTATGCGCAGTTTTGCCCAGACAGAGCCTTGGTGTAGTAGTGACCTAAATGCATTTGCTGAGGGAAGACAGTCTGGGGACTTGGAGTCGGTTCTAGACATGCAACTCCAAGGCTCACGGAGCCTCAGCTTCCTCCTCTGTGAAACGGGGATCATGTGCACCCCCGTGCCCACTGAACACCCCTTTCCAGGAGTGGCCAGGACAGCCCCGGCAGAAGGCAGGGCCGTGTGGCCCCGAGGCTCTCGCAGGACCATCGTGGTTCCTGCACCTGTCACTGAGCGTGCGGGGGTTGGGGAGCTGCCCTCCCGCCGCCCTTCTTGCCGGTGTGCTTGTTGCCACAGACCAGGGCTCTCACACCCGGCGATGCTGCCCCCGGGGAGAATTGACAATGTCTGAGACAGTCTTAGCCGTCACCCTGGGAGTCGGGGTGCTCCTGGCAGCCAGTGGGTTGAGGCCAGGGCTGCCGCTGACACCCTGCAGTGCACGGGACGGCCCCACAAGGCAGCCTCCCTACGGCGGGGTCTGGTCCCTGTGTCTGTGGTGCCACAGGTGACGGCCGTGGCGACTTCCATGCCACAGCTGACTTCCTGCCTTGTGTCCCTCGGCCGTGTGCGGTGGCTGCTCTCCCGTGGCCCATGCCTTCGCCCTCGCCATGCAGAGCAGGAGCTGCAAGTTAGAGGAGGAAAGTGGGAAGGGACAAGGAGACGCCAGGTCAGGCATCCAGACCGCGTAGGGCCGTGTGCATGGTGCCCACGGAGCCCCGGGCTGGCCCCTGCTCACTGGCCTTGGGGCAGGCAGAGCAGGCTCCCTGGCTCGCCATGAAGCCGCCGCATGGCTGTGTCAGACACCACCTGGTCACCTGGCACAGCTCACCTCCGGCCTGTTCTTTGTCTTGGGACCAGAGGAGCCCGAGGGGGTGGAACCGAGGCTGCAGGTGAGCTCTGGGCAAGGCAGGAAACACGGGCTCAGGGTGGGGTGTCCCGTCCTCAACCCGACGGGCCATTCCCTCTTGTTCTCCCAGAACCCGAACCCCCAGTCTGCCCTCCTTGTTCCCTCCGAGATGCCAAGTCTCGCTCTCCCTGTTCATCCAAAAACTGGCGTTCCTTCCCAGCCGCTCTGCACCCCACCCCACCCCACCCCCGGTTTTCCTTCCAGAGAGTTCTTTCCCTTCTGCCCGTGCTGTGGCAGCCACCCCGTTCTGTCCCTCACCGGCCAGGTGGATGAGTGCGCCTTGGGGACACAGGGCAGGCGCTCCGCACTCCCCGCTGAGGCTTGGCATCCGGGACAGCGTGCAGCGCTGCAGCGTTGACCGGGGTTCTGCAAAAGGACGTGTTTGGCAGCGGTTTTAAAATTGCTTTTTCATTCCGGTGTTTTTTAAGAGGCTTGCACTTAGCGTCTCTTTGAGACGTCGTCAGAGTCTTAAGATGATTCTGTGTTAAGGGTTTTCGTTTTTCACCAGAAATTTCTCACAGCTGGTGACAGGGAGCAAAGCAGTGGAGCTTCTCCTTTTCAAACCAAAGTTTGTTTTCATTTGTTTTGGGGCTTTTTTCTTGTCATTGTTGTTGTTTAAGGACCACCTGTCTCCCTGTCCTAGCAAGGAGGAGCCCGTGCTGGGCTTGTGAGCATGCCCGTGTTTGAATACTCCTGGAGTTTTGCTGGTTGGAAATGTATATATACGGTGATGCTGCAGCCAACACAGGAAATTTATTCCCCAAATTTACATTTATTTTTCGTTTAAAAAAGTATCGAAGAGGGAGGTTTTGGGGGGGAAAAATCAGGCCGTCAGAAACCTTGCCAAACGTCCTGCACGGTGACTTCGCGAGGGCGTGGGAGGCAGGTGGCCCGGGCTCTGCCGACTCGGTTCTGATGTTGCTCTCGCTAAACTCTCCTCACCTCTCACTTCTCTTCATCTCGTGCCCGTTCCCTTTCACTTAAGAGGATCGCTATGCCAACGAGAATTAATTGCCTACACAGTAAGTTATTTTTGTCTTCTGTTTTCGAGTTACCGTGTAGCCGTCCCGTGAGAAAAGCCCGTACGGCAGCGAGCTGACCTGCCCGCCTTCCCTCCCCTCCTGCCCTCTTGCCTCCACCCCCTAGGCTGCCAGTTTCCCTGTTCCTGCGCTGGCTCACGTCAGCGTGGCACCTGCCAGGTGAGGGCGCCCGCGCTGTTGCCTGAGGTGACCGGGAGACCCCGCTGTGACACCCACCCACCGTCCCCTCCCGTGTGCTCCAGCTGTAAAACCTAGTCGCTTCTATAAAAGGACCATCTAAGGCTGTTCTTGGGGTAGCAAACCACAATTTCTAAGGTTGCTCTCGGTCACCGTTTTCCTACCTGCTGGATTTCATGAGAAGGGTTCTTCACTTGGCTGTTTACGTCTGTTAGACTCTGTAGAGACAAACAGGAGTAAATCTGGAAGTGCTACGACATTAGAGCTATGACAATTAGAACAATTATTTTTTTTTTATTCCTTCACATATATGTTCATACCTGAGCCTTTTCCTGAATTCTTTTAACCTTGCTAGAACCAGTGAAAGGCTTTTTTTTCCTCTCCCTCTTGTCCCCCATTTAGAATCTCGGTCATTTGCTTCAAATTTCACATAGCCTCGCTCCATCTGTGTCTTTGGGAGGTTTGGGCGAGGTCTAAATCTTGCATCTTGCTCTCGGTACGGTGAAAGTAGCCTGGGATAAGGTGGCCAGGCTTTATAAAACCAAAGCGGCCACGCTGCTCTTGCCGAGGGTGTGAACTTCCCTGTCGGCAAAGGGCCGCGGGTTCTGTGGGCTCAGAGTCAGGTGTGACGTACCGAACTTCCGGGCATATCCGTCTGGGTCCTCCGGAGAAGTAGCACCGTAGGCTATGCGTTTTAAGGAATTGGCTCACGTGATTGCAGGGGCTAAGTCTGGACTCTGCAGGGCAGGCGGCAGGCAGAGAGACCCAGGTGGGGACGGACGCTTCAGTCTTGAGGCAGAATTTCTTCTGCTCCAAACAACCTCAGTTTTTGCTCTCAGGGCCTTCAAGTAGTAGTTGGGCGAGGCCCCCCCAGGTTGTCCAGGGTAACCTCCTTCATTTACAGTCAACAGGCTCTGCCTGTTCATTACACCTACACAATACCTTTGTGGCAACATCTCCATCAGGGTTCGATCACCGGGTGCTGTGGCCAGGCTGATGCAGGAAACTAGCAGTCACTGCCGCTCTGGGTCAAGGTGGGCGGACGGTGACCTCCCCCGCAGCCCTGGCCCACTCACCCACCAAGGGGTGGCTGTGTCGGCATGCCGGGCTCTCCCGGCACCGCTCGCCCCAGAGGTCATTGTGTGTCATGGCCAAGTTCAGACAGACCTTGTTGTTTAGAATTCAAGATCGAAAACCCTTTGTTTATATTAGTTATTCTTTTTTTTCTTTTTTTTTTTTGAGACAGAGTCTCGCTTCGTTGCCCAGACTAGAGTGAGTGCCGTGGTGTCAGCCTAGCTCATAGCAACCTCAAACTCCTGGGCTCAAGTGATCCTCCTGCCTCAACCTCCCTAGTAGCTGGGACTACAGGCAGGTGCCACCATGCCCGGCTAATTTTTTCTATATATATTAGTTGGCCAATTAATTTCTTTCTATTTTTATTAGAGACGGGGTCTCGCTCTTGCTCAGCCTGGTTTCGAACTCCTGACCTTGAGCAATCCTCCCACCTCGGCCTCCCAGAGTGTATATTAGTTATTCTTCACGGTGGCCGAGCCAAACTCTGACCCGGACACAAGGTCGCCCCCTTAGAACGCCCTCTCCTGCCCGCACCCCGCACGCCTCTCTGGGGATGTGACTCCTTCCGGGGACCCCGCCCGGGTCCGTGCTGGAGTAGGGCGCTCTGCTCCGGAGCCCGGAGGCCTCTGGCCTGCCCACGCTCTCTTGGAGGCCCCTCTCCGGGGCCTCCGCCGTGCCCTTTTCTCCAGACAGCTCCCGGCTGCTTCTCGGGGTTGGGGTGACCCACCATCTTCCGGCCCAAACGCCTGCCTTAGCCGCACGCACGGAGGAGCAGGGGGTGAGAGCTCGGGCTTCAGAGCCGGAACGCCCGGCGGCAAAGCCCTCGCCCACCTCCGTGACTGTGGGACCCCAGACGGTCGCCCCTCCGAACCGAGGCCTCTTCATGCGTCTTCCTGTCCATGCACACGTCTGACAGACATAAACAGCTAATTGGAGGGTCTGTCTTAAAATCCGGCAGGAGGAAAACAATGACGAGAAACAACCTTAGGAATCGTAGGAGAGGTAGGAGACCTGTCCTTCCTCAGAGGCTGTTGGGGACGTCCCCAGAGTCCAGCCTGAGGCATGGCGGATCTCAGCCCCTCCCCTCCCCTTCCTCTGTACAAAGAAGCTGACGTCGCCCCCACGGAAGCCGTGACTAGTCATGTCGAGTTCAGGGAGAGCGTGTAAGTCGCACAAATGACTTCAGGAAGCTTTGCACCAGGGCACCTACATGACATCACCTGGTTCCTGGCATTGGTGTCTCACCACAAAATTTAACGAAACAGCTCACCTGCTCCAGAGGTCGTGAGTGGGGGTGGGAGGCAGAAACCGACCCTGTTGCAGGTCCTCAGCGCTGCGGGTGGCACACGCGGGCGGACCCGGGGCCGGCTGCGGCGGGCGGTACCACGAAAACAAGTCAGCCCCCAGGTGGAGGGACAGACCGCAGCTGGCAGTGCGGGGTCAGACAAACATATCGGGCAGATCTGCCTAGTCTGCCAGTCTCACCCGCAGGTCGAAATCCTGGAGGGTTCATAATGTGGCAAGAATCTGAATTTTAGGCCGTTGCAGTGCAATTTCACTTAAACGAGTTACAGCAACGGCTCAGAAATGTGCAGCTTCTCTTTTGAAAGTCTTTCGAACACGGCCACGCCCTGCCTGTCACGCTTGGCTTCTCCGTAAGGAGGTGCGGGCGGCGGGAGGGCTGCGAGAGAGAGCCGTGCCCAGCCGCGTGAGAAGCACGCACGGGAGCGTGGCGTGCTGCCTGCCCCCCTCGGCGCCGGCCCGTCCCCTGCAGGCGCTCTGAGCTCCGCGGCCGTTTGCCGGGACCCGGGCCAGCAGGTGCCAGCCCAGCAGCACGTCAGGAAGACCTGGGACGTTTTGAATGATGCTCATGCCCAGAGTCCCCGGCCCCCCTCGTGTCGGATCCCCCAGGGTGGGCCTGGGCATCTGTGGTTTTGGAAAGACACTGCTGACCCCAGGGAGTCCCGGGGCTGAGGACGCCGCTCCGCTCTCTGCTCCCGATTCTCCCACGCGGCTTCCAGGGTTCCCAGGACTGAACGGGAAGCCGTGGCGGGCGTTTGCTGGCCTCCTCTGAAGTCCAGTGCCCCTCACCTTTCCTGGCTGTGCTAGTCTCCCAGGGCCGTAACAGGGTACGGCTCAAACGGCAGGAGCGCGTTCTGCCTCCCTGCTGTCTGGGTGTCTGAGGTGGCGGCGTCATCCGGGTTGGGCCCCCTCTGCCGTCTCTAGAGCAGACTCCGCCCGTTCCAGGCCCCGCTGCAGCTCTGGGTGGTTTGCGACAGTCTGGTGTTCCTTGGCTTGTGGAAGCCTCACCCTGACCTCTGCCGCGACCCTCACGTGGCACTCTCTCTGCCCCTCTTCCCGTTGTTTGCCTTCCGTGTCTGTCTGTTGCCAAACGCCCCCTTTTTCTAAGGACACCAGGCACGTCGGCTTAGGGGCTCATCCCAGTGACCTCGTTTAACTTGGTTCCACCTGCAAGGGCCCTGCCTCCAAATGATGTCACACTCTGAGGTTCTGGAGGTTAGGACTTTAACATAGGGATTTTGAGGGGACATAGTTCAGCCCATAACACTGTCCCTGTGTAACTTGGGCTCCAGCTCCAAACCGATTTCAGCGCAGGGATAGCTATGAAATGGACTTTGGGGGGACCCTTCCTGGAGACAGCCTCTTACCACCAGGGGTCCCAACTCCTCAGGTCTATAGCTGACCCAGGGGGCGTGTTGGCGTGTCATTTCCCCTGGAGGGTGGCCAGGGGGTGGCTCTAATGAGCAGTCCTGGTGAATCCCACGGGTCCCCTCGGGGCTTCTCTCCTCTCCTCTGTCCCCCATTCACACGCCCTCTGGGGGCTCCAAGGCCTGAAGCAGAGCCCCGAAGCAGGTGCCTATAGATAAGTACCACCTAGGCCCCTTCCCGTCCGCCCAACCTGAGGTCACCTGGTGGGCTCTGAGTCCCCTTGAGGCTGGGGATTCCTCTGCCTGGGAGCCCCTCTGGGTGTGCCGGGGCATTTTCCCAGCAGGTGCCTCAACCCCATGGGCACCACTGCACCTGTCTCTGGCAAAGCTCCAGAGTCATGTCTGGTTGGCAGTCACCACTGGGCTGTCTAGCGCAGCCTTATGGGTGATTTTTCACAACTCGCTGCTCCCACCTGAGGGACATCCCACAGGTGGAGCCCGTCCGCACTGCTGACCAGAGTGAGGTCACACGCACACGTACACTACCTGACCCCTTTTCCGTTCCCCGAAGCCCTTACACGCAGGCTCCCAATGGCAGGTAGTTGTAAAAAAATATCCTAAGGGTTCTTCATAATAGGAGACTTGGTTGTGTCTTAAAGAGAAAGGTTTTGAAAAATTATTTTACGGCAGCTTTGGCCAGATTAAATTCAGCCCCTCCCTGGAGCTCTCCGTCTTTGTCGTTTCTGCCCCTTAACCTGGGCGGAGCACACGGGAGCAGGAAGTTCATCCTTACAGTCCCGCTCAGGGCGGGGGCCGAACATCCCCAGACCGGGGCTGGGCGTCAGAGATGCCCACGCAGGGCTGGGTCGGCCTGCCCTCCCGCCCTCAGGTGCCGCGTGCATTCGGAAGAGGAATTGATACTCTTAGTCCTCTCCTGTGATCCAAGTGGGTGGCTATCGGGGGTGACTGCTGAATGCCTGTCGGATGTGCCACCGCAAACAGAACCAGTCCCCAAGTTCGGTGGAGAGCTCCTCCTCAAAGGTGGTCACACGTGTCTCTTTTTTTAAGTCATTACCGCCTACGGGCAGGTGGTAATGAGTGTCCCGGGTTATCCTGAAATATTACCCACCTGGCCTTGGTTCATAGGACGTTAAACCAACTTGTGAAAAAGCAAACCAGGGGGCTCTTGCCACCCCCACCCCACTTTAGCACATACTTGCTCTGTGAGGGGGCGTTGCTGTTGAAATTATCTTTGCTACTGCTGCTGCTATATCTTTTTTTCCTATTTCATATTCCACTAGCTGACATCAGATACAGATAGGCTGAACCACATGAAATTGAGGTTTTGTGGGTCAAAAATGATCTGGTGGCCTGGCGCGGTGGCTCACGCCTGTAATCCTAGCACTCTGGGAGGCAGAGGCGGGCGGATCGCTCGAGGTCAGGAGTTCGAAACCAGCCTGAGCAAGAGCGAGACCCCCGTCTCTACTATAAATAGAAAGAAATTAATTGGCCAACTAAAAATATATAGAAAAAATTAGCCGGGCATGGTGGCGCATGCCTGTAGTCCCAGCTACTCGGGAGGCTGAGGCAGGAGGATCGCTTGAGCCCAGGAGTCTGAGGTTGCTGTGAGCTAGGCTGACGCCACGGCACTCACTCTAGCCCGGGCAACAAAGCGAGACTCTGTCTCAAAAAAAATAAATAAATAAAATAAATAAGATCTGGTAACAGTTTTCAGATGGCTTAGCATGATCTGTACACCACAGGATCTGGAGTCATGAAACTCTCTGACTCCCGAAAGAACAAACATTATTTAACTCTTCTAAGACAGCAGACACCTTTGTTCTCAGAGTCCTTAATTTGTCCCCATGAGCACGGCCATCCTTCCTGGGGTACGGTGCTGCTTTGCCATTTGCGCCCTGCTAAGGGAGGGGCGTGGGGAGCAGAGGGGACCGGGTGGTGAGGGACAGCAAACCTGCTGCCATCGGGAGCGACAGGCACCCGCCCGCGGTGTGAGCCCCTTCCCTGGGCATGGACACCCCGTGCGGGGCCAGGCCTGCGGCTGCCCCTGCTGCCCTCCGCGCTGCACCCTAACCACCCTGGCTTCGTGTGAGCCACACTCCGGCTCTCACGCGCACAGCGGCAGTACACGGGAGGCGTGAACTGGCCCGGCTTTAGAGGCGCCGGGCTTCCTCTTTCCTCTCTCCTTCGGGACTGGCCGCGTCCGGCCTTTGGTCCCCAGCCCCGATGACCGTCCCTGCGCTTTCCTCCTGCAGGGGGGATCCTGAGGAAGAGCGCCAAGCTGTTCTTCCGCCGGCGGCACCAACAGAAAGACCCGGGCATGAGCCAGTCGCACAACGACCTCGTGTTCCTGCAGCAGCCCGAGGGCGCCCGGAGGAAGGGGGCCACCCTCACCAGGATGCTGAACAGGAAGCTGCTCCCCGGGCACAGGAGCAAGCACGCCGTTAACGGCGCGCCCGCCGAGCCCTGCACGTAGGCCCGAGCCAGGGTGGCGCCTCCTTGCAGCCGGAAGACGCAGACCCGCCCCAGCTGCCCTCCCGCCACGGAGCGAGAGCGCCAGCCTGCTGTCCCACGCCATGCTCGCCCAGCTGGGTTTTTCCAACAATCTAGGGTTTTAAAGGGAAAAAAAAAAATCTGGGTCTCCAGCCAGGAGGCTGCCCCCGGAGAGGACTGAAAAAACCCAGTTTGCCAGCAGATGCCAGGTGAGACCGACGGCCCCGTAGCTCGGCCGTGCTCGGATCCACGAGTTCAGCGTGAATAGTAGCGGGAGATGCACGCTGTGGGAAGACTGCGCACTCCGGTGGGCGGGGGAGGGCAGGCTTGGGGGACCCACGCACTGTACTCTCTGACCGGTGTCGTTTGGGGGGGCCATGCCTGGACCACGTGACACGGAGGAGGCGCTTGCTGTGCTATCACTGTGAACGGAACGGATGGGTCACCTCTCCTAACTTGCTGCTTAGAACAAAAATGTGCAGCTGGGCCCGAGTACAGGGAGGCGGGACATAGGCAGGGTTTTTGGTAAATGGAGACATTGTGATAGGAATGGAAACGCTACGACAAATGTAGGAAGCTATCTGCCTTTGATAGTAGCCATAGGACTCGAACACTTATGCAAACACTAAATATATCCTATGCATATGTATTATGCCGAACACTTTCCTAAGTTTACTTTGAGCCTCCTTGCAAGTGGAAGATGCGTTAAGTTCTTATGTGGTTTCTCCGTTGTTGGTTATCATGACAAAAAGCTCTCATGCCACCGTTGGAGCAGGTGACACCCAGGTCTTTCTTCCTGCCCGTCACACTCGCTAGACAAGAGCGCTGCAAGTCTGTCGAAGGCAGGCAGGAGCAACAAGAGGCAGCTCGTGGAACATGCTAACCACATGCACATGGTTTTTGCCAAATACCGCCAAAGGCCAAATCAAAGTGCTTCTAGGGCAACAGAGAAGATGTGTCTCAGGCGTCAGTCTTAGCAATGGAAGTTTAACAACAAAGAGGCCAGACTTCCAGTAGACGTGCTTGTTATAGAGTGGCTGTCATTGGGGCAGGAAGTTTTGGCAGATGAACCAGACTCATTTTCCTGCAATAAGATTTAAAAGGCTATTCTGGGCCAGGCATGGTGGCTCACGCCTGTAATCCTAGCACTCTGGGAGGCCGAGGCGGGCGGATTGCTCGAGGTCAGGAGTTCAAAACCAGCCTGAGCAAGAGCGAGACCCCCGTCTCTACTACAAATAGAAAGAAATTAATTGGCCAACCAAAAATTATATAGAAAAAATTAGCCGGGCATGGTGGCGCATGCCTGTAGTCCCAGCTATTCGGGAGGCTGAGGCAAGAGAATTGCTTGAGCCCAGGAGTTAGAGGTTGCTGTGAGCCAGGCTGATGCCACGGCACTCTAGCCCGGGCAAGAGAGTGAGACTCTGTCTCAAAAAAAAAAAAAAAAAAGGCTATTACGAACCCTTGGCTTCTGTCAGGGATATGAAATCGGGTGAGCCCCTTTCTCCAGGCCCTTTTGTTAATCATTAGACATTAAATGTCTTAGGGGCCACAGAGCCATTAATGAACAAAAACCTATATAAAAACAAAAGTTATAGAATTCTTTTTTTGAGGGAGAAATTTGAAAACTACATTAAGAATTTCACTTTAAAATACATATTAAAAACTTCTTAGGTGTTCCAGGAATGATCAAGTTCATTTTAAAATGACTTTTTCGCCATCCCTTGTTTTTAAAAATTATGTTCCAGTTTTAATCATTGTAAAACAGCACCTGGAGTTTCCAAGTATGTTAATACTACCAAGTTAGTGCCCAGAGTTAGTGATCACTAGCAGCCCTTCAGGATGGACGGCCACTCTTAACATTTGTCCTGCTTGAAGCAGAACTACTTTTGAACGCTGCTCTTGAAGTTGAGTTACTACTGTTGGTCACGTGATAAACAGAACCCGGGACACATAAGAATTAATTCTAAGAGGATGTCATGTGTCAGAATTTCAGACACTGATCAGCAGTTTATAATAGTGGGTTTTTTTTTGTTTGTTTAATTTTGAAATTCAGGTGGACTCAATGGATCCAATTTATTCCAGTGTGAAGGTGTCAGAGTTTTAGATTAAGATTTCTCGCTCTCAAAAAATGTTTTTAACCATCCCATTTCCAGATGGACCCCGTGAACATTCGTTCACTGTTTAACACCTGTGTCTGGGTCTCTACTTCCTGTAGACACACTCACCTCCTCCTTACGGCCTTTTCTGAGGCTACAGAAAACGCTAGCGTGGGTGGCAAGGAGTTGACAAGAAAATGAAGTAAGCATCAGGGTAGCGCCAAGAGAGCACGGGCTGTGTTGATACTGTGAATGTTTCTTTTCCAAGCTGTTTGTTCCAGGTCTGTTTTCTCATGGTGTCGGGTATTTATGTTAGAGTCAATGTCGATTAAGATTATACACCAAATGCTAAACACACTAGTGTGTATTTTAGTCACTGATGTGTAACTTTTTTCTCTTCATCTTTTCTACAAGCTTTCCTGGCTCCAGGGATTTTTATTTTCAGTGTTTGTCTTGATGAAATTCTTGCAGAGTGGTATTTTCAAGGTGATTCCTCATGAACACTAACACGAACGTGTGTCTGGAACCAGGTGCTCAAGGGGGATTTAATGAGCTTAAAACCCTTCCACTTGTGCTGTTTGAGGCCGTGCCTGGGTTCTCTGCAGAGGAACAGAATGGATCTTAAGAGAGAGAGAGAGAGAGAGAGAGAGTGTGTGTGTGTGTTTGTGTTAATGTAGCAACAACGAAATCTCCTTGTTTCAGCTGGAAACCTGCTGTGAGAAAGAGTTTTGATGAGCACTTTATTTTCATCAAGTTCCAGGTTCAAGTCCCAAACCAGCCCTCCTGATTGCTGCTTGGCCAGCCGCCAGCCAAATACAAATCAGGTGCCCATCTAGACGCTTGCTTGGGTTTTACTGGCCACCCCTATAGAAGAGAGTTGTGAATTTTCTTTTAGAGCAGAAAGGGAGAGGTCAATTTACATTGCTGCCAACAAAAGCGGGTGTTTCGAGGCTCTGGGTCTGGAAATCTCAGAGTACCGGCTGGCGGATGCGGGAAGTCAGAACGTTGATCCTGTCAGAGAGAAAACAGGTCTCTGCAGTACCCCCCAACTGCCCCGGATTGGCATGGCCGTGATCACCAAAGCAACCAGCACAGGGCAAGGCCGCTCTTCGCCTGCAAAGCAAACTCAGGTTACCTCTGGCTCCTGACCCTCAGTGTTCCTGTTTTATGTCCGACAAGGCATTTGAGATGCACGGAACTGCCCAGTGCCCTCAGCCAACAACCGGTCAGTAACGTGCCGCTCATCACTGAGGCCTGGCTGTGTTTTGCCCCCCTGATGTGACGTCAAACCTGCATTTTAAAAAGAGACGAAAAGGTTTCCCAGGTCTGGGGGAAGGCTTGGCCTGATGCTGGAGTGTGGTGGTAAATTTACGCTGACGGTGATTGTATTTCTTGGTAGCACTTTACAATCAGAAGTCAGGCCTGCGCACCAGGCTCTGAGCAGGCTCCTTTGGACACGTGGCTGGAACACGAACAATCTTTGAAAGAAATAAATGTGCACATGGAACACTACCCACCGAGTTGTCTTTGCTGAGTCCTGTGCTGTCCCTAACATGCTGCTTATAGGATTTTTAAGCCAGTTAGCGTCCTGTCTCGGCCTGGGACTATAAAAGCATTTACCATGTTTCCCCGAAAATAAGACCTACCCATAAAATAAGCCCTAACGGGATTTCTAAGCATTTGCGGGATATAAGCCCTACCCCGAAAATAAGCCCTAGTGACGGGCGTGGCTACGCAGCGCGTCTGCACAACCCATGCATGTCGTCGCGGAGCGGGGAAAGAAGACGAGCAGCCCTTCTCACCTGCCCTGTGAGAGCTCTGTGGCTCGACATGAGAGATCGGGGCTGATGGTTCTAAAGGAAATATAGTTGCAAGAAATGCAGGATGGAATTCGGGGTTTGGAGAGTTATGATGATGTTCCAGAAGAAGACGACTTCACTCTATTTGAATAAATGTAGACTGTTGTACCATACGTTAAAAAAATAACACATCCCCTGAAAATAAGCCCTAGGGTGTCTTCTTGAGGAAAAACAAATATAAGACCCTGCCTTATTTTCGGGGAAACACGGTACTAGAGGGAGTTGGAGTTCCCAGGGAGCCTTTGGGTCATGGCACGTCCTGCATGCTTCAGGACAGGGCTGTCGGCAGAGCCAGGCATGGGGGAGCCTGTGGGTGGCACACTTGGGAAGTGACGGCAGGGTGCCAGGGCGCAGCCGCAGGAGTGTGGTGGGACGGTGTGTGTGAGGTGGTCTACCCACGAGGGCTGCCACGTGACCCCACAGGGACCTTCTGAGGTGTGCTGTGCACTTGGGGGAGGAGGGGGACATGGTAGCCCATCCACAGCCTCTGGTTGTCAATCCCCACCACCACGCTGGCTGCCCAGGCAGGTGCAGAGGGACAGGTGCCCAGCTCAGCCGCGGGTGCGGTGCTGCCTGCGCTTGCACGGAGCTCGAGGCAGTTCTGGGGTGAGGGCGGTGGAGTCAGGTGGTGGCTTGTGCTGCGAGACCCCTGCAGGCATCTCGTCTCCTTCTCAGTCTTCAGTCCCAGTCTCACCTTTCAGTCTCATTCCCACTGCGGTGCCCAAACGCCAGTGCACTTGGAGAGCATGGGGGAGATTAATGGACGGCCCCCACGCCCTCTGCCCTTCCTCTGAGCTGCCCCGCCCCCACCTGCCCGCTAGACACAGTGTGTGTGTGTGTGTGTGTGTGTGTGTGTGTGTGTGCGCGCAGAGCGGCCACTGTCCCTCCCCTTTCAGGCATGGACTGGTCACTGAGACTGATGCATGCTTTGCATTTCTGAGGAGTGGTCTACCTACAGAACGAAAGCCTCAGCCCTCGGCTGAGAGCTGGGATTCCAGATCTTCAGCCAACGCCCTGGTCGCTGAAGGCAGCGGTGATGGCAGTGCATCTTGTCTGGAATTAGAACTGCTTTAGGACCAGGGGGTTGCACTGCTGCTCCCTCAGTGTGCCGACACTCGGGGGGAGGCTGCACTGAGTTGCTGGAAGGACAGACTCATCCTAGTTTACCAACTCTCCTAACTTGATCAGCTGGTCACCTCCAGGTGAGCCCTGAGTTCTTGCCAGTGTGTCTACGCTGCCCAGATTATCCACCTCAACCACCCTCAGGCATTCTGGAAGGTGCACCCTCGTTCCCAGCAGTCACCCCTCACGATCCGAATGGTCTAACCAAACTCAAGCCCTGCCTCCTCCGTGAAGGGGCTTTGGCTACCAGGGATGCTGGACCAGGGGACTTGCCCCCACATGCTTCAGGCCCCCGTCTCGGGCTCTGCTGCCCTGGCTGCCATTTCATCCTGTCGTCCACTCGGTGCCCCCTTCCCGGCCCCCCGGGCAGAGCGATGACAGGTCAGCTGATGCCCCCTGCATAAGCACAGATGGCAACTGTGCTCACGCCCATCCGACCGCCTCCCCCAGGACCCGGTGTCAGGACAGAGCAGGAGGCTGGAAGGAATGCACACGACCACAAGCTGTTTCGACCTCTGCACCCCTATGAATCCAGGGTGCTGTGTGTATATGTCAATAAATAGTTCACGCAAAAGCAAATGCTGAGTGCTCCAAATTGGGGCTGGAAACCAGGGTGGCTGACAGCACAGGGACCACCCTGGAGAGAGGGCTGCTGAGGCCAGTCCCTCCTTGCCCGTGGTGACCTAGAGGCATCAGCTTTCATGCACTGACCACAGCTCACCCTGGCTCCGTCCCTCGACTGTCCACAGGGGAAACTGTTGTACCGTGCATGTAACAGATATGCAAAACTGTTGCCTATATATTTACATATCTTCTTGATGTCACTGACATTTATAAAGTTGGATGTTTAGGTGCCTTGGGCACCCTTACAGAAGGGTTATGAGCTGCTCTCCCAGATGGAACACTAGACTAAGCCCAGGGGGTCCAGGAATTGATACTCTAGCTGGGTAGCAAGTGTAGCTTTTTTTATACAAAAGTTAGAGGAAGACTTGAGTTCACAATAATGGCCGATACTAATTGAGCACTTACTGTGTGCCAAGAATGTTTCAAAGTGTTTTATATGTAACGACTCATATACTCTTAGAAACAACACCGTGAGTTATGATCTATCTCAGCTTTACAGATTAGGAGACTGAGGCACAGAAAGCTTAAGTAACTTGCCCAGGGTGCTAAGTGGCAGAACCAGAATCCACGCCCAGGAGAAGCCACGCCCACAGCCACAAGCCTCTAGTCCTGGCCTTGTGCCAGATGGCGAGATTAAGCACCGAGGCCTTATGTGGTCTTTTCTGAACTTTAGTGCTGCCTGTTTTGGGTGAGAATAACAGAAAGTGAGATTCACTGTTTTGCACGTAATAGAAACTATTTGCTGATAAGACTTCCCTCTTTATCTGTATGAGGAAAAATGGCCAGATTTTTTAAAAATGTAAAAGCTGGAGGTGTCTGGAGGTGACTGCAGATGTCTACACTGCCTTACACTGAAGGAGGTGTGTGTTTAACAAGAATCCGGAGCCGATGAGACACGCTAATTGGAAAGTGCAGGTCCAAGCAGGCCAGCGACAGGCCCGCAGCGTTGCCCTCGATGATTAATTACAGCTCAACGGCCCACCCAGTCTCCGCGCAGGGAGAACCAAGTGTTCACACGAGGATTCGCTGGTAATCGTGGAAACCCTTTTCTGCTGTTTTTTAAATTCTCAACTCATTTTTTAAAATTTCAAACCTACAGAATAACCCCAAGACCCTTCACTTAGATTCACCAATTCGCCGCATCTGCCGTTTCTATCTGCCTGTCTGCCTACCTCGTTGTTTGGAGAGATCATACATACTTCACGCTAAATCCTTCCGCATGCATTTTCTGAGCACAGCGGCACCTGGCTGCCATGCACTCAGTGTAATGATCACTCCTGGGAAATGTAATATCCATGCAATACTATTACCCAGTCTCACAGTGCATGTTCCAGCTTCCCCATTTGCCCCAAACCATTCTTTTTAGTTTTGTTTTGTTTTTTGTTTTTTTTTTTTGCTCAAAATTCATTCAAAGATTATATATTGCATTCATTGTTAAAAATTTGACACTTCAGGCAACAAAACTTTTTTTTAACTTCAGAATTTTGGAGATGAATCTGCCTTTAAAGGGTATTATTTCCAGGCTTTATTAAAGGAATATACTCAACTTACTGAGAATTCTTTTGAAGATGCCAAGGACCATGGTGAAAGTGAATCCCAGCCCTGTATGTGCTGATAAGAGAAATGGCTTTGTGTGGTTTGAGGCCTTTTGACTACTTTTAGTTATTTGCACTTGCTGTGACCTGTCATTTTTTCCGGTAAACAACCTGCTTTTTGTTCACGTACACCAAGAGCTATTTCTTATGCCCAGAGAAGCACCCATCTGGGCATTTTGGAATTGCAAATGATGTCCCTGGAGGTGTGTGTGTGTTTGTGAGAGAGAGAGAGAGTTAGGCAGAGACATGAATGAAGAAGTGTTTGAAACCAGAGGGAACATGAGGGACAGAGGAAGGCTGGAGGGAGGGAGGATGCCCCAGGTGGGTGGGGATGAGCAGGGGTGGACAGGGGAATGATCCAGAAAGGTCTGGGAGGCTGTGGGCAGAGCTACTCCAGTGCAACTGGGGGCTGTCCTGGAATGTTGGGGAGGCCAGGGAAGGAAGCCCTAACAGGACACACTGACACACGGCCTCTACTGCACAGCGTTGCACCCTATGACACGAATGGTACTTAATTGCCAGTAGCCTCACACGTGTGCCGTTTCATACAAGGGAGTCTGTCTCCGGGACAATTCCTGCACGGGGGATCGCTGCACCAGACACTATGTGCATCTGGAATTTCTAGTGGATATCCACAAATTGCCCGGATGCCAAGCAACACGATTTATTCCCCTAACGGCAAAGGATGGGAGAGCTTGTTTCTCTACAGTTGCTTCAACATTACACCATTGGACTTTTTCAGATCTTTGCTGATGGAATAAAAATCATCTCACTGCAGCTTTTTCTCTTATTACAGAATCATGGAATAGCTTCTCATGTGCTTAAGAGCTGTTGTGCTTTCTGTGAACCATCCATACACTTTGCTAGTTTTCCTATCAGTTAATTTATTTTCTGAGTCATCAGAGCTTTACATACATGAGGGAAATGAGCCCTTCGTGGTGTCAACTTGAAATCGCTCCCCCCAGTTCACCGCTGATGGGAGCGGACGAGACCGTTAAGGCCGGTACTGGGCTCAAGGCGTCTCGAGTCCCTGGTTCTCACACTCCGTGGCTGCTGGAGGGCACGAGGCCACCCGGCGGATGGGGGGAGGGGATGGGAGCAGGGGATGGGGGAGGGGTTGAGTGGCGGGGCAGAAACACGCAGCCAGGCCGGTTCCCAAACTCCGCGCCGCAGCATCGCCCCGTGGTTCCGGCGCGGTTTCTGGAGCTCACCCTGCCCGGGTCTCTACTGCGCGAACACGCTGGGGACACAGCGGGCACAGTGGCACACCCCGCCGGCCGGTTCGGACGGCAAGCCCCAGCCCTGCGTCACAGAAAAATCCGACCTTCCACCACCGCCACCGCCCTCGCCCCAAAGAAACGAAGGCTTCTCGCAGCGTGCGGAGGGGGCGCGCGTGGTCCCCGGGCCGGCAGCGTCCATGCCTCCGCTTTCCCGTCCAAGCCGCCCGCGGCCCCGACCCCCGCCCCGCCGGCCCGGCTCTCCCGTCCGTGCCAAGCCCCGCGGTGGACCGCGCTGCTGTCCGCGCCGCCGGTGCCCCTCGACCCCATCCCCGCCACCTGCACCCGCGTCCGCTGCTCTGCCGCGTCCGCGCCGCGCCCCCACCGCCCCGCGCCACCCCGCGCCCCTGCTACCCCACCGCCCCGCGCCTGCGCCGCTGCCACCCGGCGCCTGCTACCACCGCGCGCCACGTGCCACCGCGCCGCTACCCACGCCCGCGTCCGCGCCACCCGTTGCCTGCTACCACCACGCCCGCGTCCGCTCCCGCCACCACCGTCGCGCTCCGCCACCCCACCGTCCGTGCCGCTACCGCACCACCGTCCCGTGCCGCGCTACCCGCCACCCCACCGTCCCGCTCTCCTGCCATCCCGCCGCCCTGCCACCCCACCGTCCTGTGCCGCGCTACCCCGCCGCCCCACCGTCCCGCAGTCCCGCCGCCCCGCAGTCCCGCCGCCCCGCAGTCCCGCCGCCCCGCAGTCCCGCCGCCCCGCCGCCCCGCAGTCCCGCCGCCCCGCCGCCCCGCGTCCCGCCGCCCCGCAGTCCCGCCGCCCCGCAGTCCCGCCGCCCCGCAGTCCCGCAGTCCCGCCGCCCCGCAGTCCCGCCGCCCCGCCGCCCCGCGTCCCGCCGCCCCGCAGTCCCGCGCTCCCGGGCGCGGACTACAAGTCCCGCCATGCCCCGCCGCCGCCCCCCGGCTTCCGGTGCTGCGCAGTTTCCGGAGCGGATCGCAACCCGGAGTCCGGATCCGATCCCGCTCTGCACATTGCAAAGGCAGGTAAAGCCCCGGGCCCCGCGCCCGCCGCCGCGCGCCGCCCCCCGGCCCGGGCCGCGCCCGCGCCCCCCCGGGCCGGCCCCGCCGCGCCGCGCCCGGCCGCGCGGCGCCCGGTCCAGCCGCCATGCCGCCTGTTCTTTGTTACATTCGCCGGCTGCGGGCGCCGTTGGCGATCGGAGTCAAAACCCGGCTGGATTTCCGGAGCCGCTCCGGGATCGCCCTGCGCGCCGCGCCGCCGCGCCCGCCGTCCGCCGCCGCGGGCGCTCCGGCGCCGGCGCCCGTCCCGCCCCGGCCCGCCCGCCGGCTCCCGCGCCCGGCTCCCGCGCCGGCCGGGCCCACGCGGGCCGAGGGTGCGGGCCGCGCTCGCCCGTGGCGCGCGCGGGCCGCCGCCGCCCTGGGCCCGGACGCCCCTCTGCCGCGGCTCTCCCGCCGGTCCTGGGCGCAGCCCGCGGGGGGCGCACGGGAGGAGGCCCGGGACCCCGCCCCGCCCAGCCAAAGGCCGATTCCGGGCGGCGGGGTCCCCAGGTCCCCCAGGCCCCCCAGGCCTTTTATTTTCCTGAGCCTTTTGGTGGCGGAGGGAAGGTAGCGAAAGGGATGGGCAGGTGGCACGTGCCCGTCCTGGGGTGGTGGCCTGCGGGGAAGGGGCGCGCCCGGCCGCTCCAGGTGAGGCCCAGCCCGTCCCCCGCGCACAGGTGGGGACGAGGGCCACGTGCGGCTTCTGGCGAGAGGGAGGTGTTCGTGGTGGGGGTCAGTTTTGAAAAGACAGAGGTGAAAACTCACGGAACCATTACGGAACCGGTAGTTACAGTTACTGCGCATTTACCTTTATTGAGCCCCTAATGTAGTGCATGGGGTCTTTTCCATAAATACTCAGAAATTGTACCCCCCCTCCCCACGGCAGTTTAAAACGGCAGAAACCAGTGTGTGATCAGAGACACATGGACCTGTGTGTGTATTTAAAGCTGCCAAGGCCTGTTTTAAAAAGCCACATTTGCCTAAGCCAGACCCACCAGATGAATTTAGAGAACCCAGTTTGGTTCCCGAAGGTATTTTTAAGGATGACAAGTAAAAGAGCAACTGGTTTTGCTATAAACCTTAAAAAGCAGCAGTGACAGTTCTCCCTAGACCGTGCGGGACGTGAACACTGTTTTGTGAGGGAGGCGATCCCACCCCCATAGGCACTGCCACCGTGTTTTGTCTCAGACCTGGATGTTTTCACATTCCCGGGATTTCACTGTTCACTCTGCTTTCCCAGATGCCCTGACACTGCTGCCTTATGGAGAGTGATTAGGAAATAGTAGAGCTGTGATTTGGGTGTTCAAAGGGAAAAAAAAACACTACACTTTATCCTAGATAGAGTTTGTTTGTTTGTTTTCTTGTTTATCTGTGTTTCATACGTTCACAGAAAATTCGCCTGCAAAGAATATAACTGACACGTTCAGTTTGGGGAGCAGACGGGACAGTCATTCCTCCAGAAGACAAATAAATTAAGAAATCAACCCCAATTGCAAGGCTAATAGCTTTTCTTCGAATAATTATATTTGAGAAGGAGCTCAGTTCACTTAGCATGTGGCTCTCATACTGTTTTTTCGATGTTATTATCTGTGCAGAAGGCCCCGAGAAAACGCTCTTGCCATTTTGCAGATTTCAGGCAACGGTTTCTTACCCTAACCCTGACTTCAGAGGTCAGGGTTGTGAGCAGTCACTCAGACGCCTTCCCAGGCTCAGTTTCTCGTTTGCAAAGTGGGCATGATTCCCGCCCGGGTCACCTCACGGCGTTCTTGTGCGCACGTATGCATTTATGGGCTGTTCGTTCATTCCTCAAATACTGACTGAATGCCTGTCTCATGCCCAGTGCCGTGAGAGCAAGAGGGAAGGCCTTGCCTGGTGGACCAGCGTCCCGTGGGGCAGGGGGTGGTGTGGGCAATAGATAAAGACACTGTCGGGAGAGACAGGGTAAGAGCTTGAAAGGAGGGAGGGACTGCAGTGGGGGGAACCCTCAGGGAGCTGGGACTAGACCATGGGTCTGTGTGAGGAGGGGGCATTTGAGCCGATGCCGCGTGGCAAGTGCAAAGGCCCTGGGGTGGGGACAGACCTGTGTGGCCTGGGCAGGGAGCACTCAGAGGGGCAGGGAGCAGGGTGTGCACCTCACAGAGTTTTTGTTCTGAGCACTGTGTGGGTGCTCCTGGGGTTCCGAGCGGGGGCGGCAGCACCTGTGTCTTCTTAGAGATGACCTGTGCTGCCACGTGTGGGGGGGGCAGCATCACAGGAGGCCAAGCCCAGCACGACTCCACTCGGAAGGGCGCAGAGGCAGAAGGGGAAGGGAGTCGGGACAAAGCGTCTTCCTAGAGCGGGGCAGGCCTTGCTGCTGGTTGGATTGGGAAACAGGTGACAGATGACTGACAGCTGTGGCCAGGGGGAACTTGGGGCCTGTGGACCTGGCAGGCGCCCCTTGGGGTGGGAAGAGCCCTGGCTCCAGGGCCACATCCTCACCCTCCCACTCTCCTCGAAGGCCCCTCCTACGCAAGGGTCCCTCCTCCCTGTGGAGGAGACGGGGACCTCAGCGCCCCCAGTCTTGGTGTGGGCGTGGCCCTGGGCTGTGGGAAGCTGGGGTGCCAGCAGAGGTGTGGGTGTCAGGGGAGTGACTCCCCTGTGGGAGCTCGCAAGAGCCTTCCACGCCAGGTGATCATTGACGACAGGTCAAAGTGCGAGCCCCCGGAACAGGCTTCTCGTGCTCACGTTCCTAAAAAGACGGATAGGAGCGAGGTGAGCGTCTGGCCCGCCATGCGAACTGCCTGGTGAGAAGCCTGTCTGCGTCATCCAACACAGCTTGCATGTGGGACGCGGGCTCAGCAACATGCAGACTGCGTTTCTGTCTCCATCAGTGGTGTTCCAGCTGCAGCCACACGCTGCGTGACGTTTCGGCCAACGTCGGATTGTGTGTATACCCGTGGTCCCATAAGATTATAATACTCCATTATTTACAGTACCCATAAGATTATAATACTCCATTTTTTACAGTACCTTTTCCATGTTTAAATATGTTATGTTTGGATGCAAAAATACTTAGCACTGTGTTACAGATGCCTGCAGCGCTCAGCACAGTGACAGGCTGTGCAGGTCTGCAGCCCAGGAGCAATGCGCTGCGCCATGCAGCAGGTGTGCAGTAGGCTGTGCCCTGCAGGTTTGTGTGAGTACACAATGTGATGTTCACGCCATGACGAAATCACCCAAGGACTCAATTCTGAAAGCGTGTTCCTGCTTTAGGTGACGCCTGACTGTCCTGCAATGACAGCTCCATCCCGGAGAAGTTAGCACAACCTTACGGCCATGGAAAATCAAGACTAATTCAATGGATATGGGTATTTGTGTTGCAGAAAGTTACAGCGGGGATCAGTAGAGCCATTGCAAGCGCACACATATGGCATTGGGTTTAAATTCTATGGTAACAGCAATAGGAGTTCCTAGAGAGAAGCGTGGTAAACTTTCACGCACGTTGCAGATAGACGAGCGTGGCTGTCCTGTCGCAGCGTTTGGATCCCAATAGCTCTGTTTACAGGAGCGGCGTAGGTTTTATCAAGTCAATATCTTCAGTATGCTGGAACTCGTGTCCCTTGAAGCTGTGTAAAAGCGGGATGGACGGTTTACAAAGGTAGCTGGGACGCAGGGAGTAGCGTGTTGCCGGGGTGCTGGCTAGGCGCAAGGAGGCCACCACGCCTGGAGCAGGCGTGCGAGAGCTGCAGAGACGGGCTGGGGCTGGGGGGATGGGCGGTGAGTGCCCGGATGCTGGCTTGGAGGGTGACAGGGCTGGGGGCAGTAAGTGCCGCCTCCCGAGGGAGAGAGAACCAAGGGGCCAGCCTGGGTCGCCCCACCTTGGAGGCGCTGGAGGGGAGGAAACCGGAAGACCCTCCAGGGCAGAACGGCTTCCAGGAGGCGGCAGTGAGGATGACTTGGGGTGCACCGGAGCCCCCAGTCGGGCTGTGGCCCTCATCCTAGTCAGATCGGGAGACGCAGGCTCTGCGTCTCCCTGGAGGCTCCCAGCATCAGGGTCTGATGGGCGGGGATGGTGCTGGTCTCCCAGTCGCCACCAGCTCTGGTAAAATGGGCGCTTGGATCGCCCAGAGATGGTGCATTTCTTCACCTGAGCTGCACCTCGAGTTGCTGCTCCACTTGTCTTGTTCCCGTGGCTCAGCATGGCCAGGTCGCCAACTTACTGCCTCTCGTGTTGGGAGACTGCAGGCATCATCGGGGAACCTGGAATAAAAGATGTGGCTCGCGGTAAACTGGTCAGTCCAGTGTCCTTGAACCGCTGGCTCTGTGGGGAAAGGGCCACACCCGCTGGACCTGGAGTCTTTCTCTGAGGGGCGTTCCCAGTGTCGGGTAACTTTCTGGGCCTTTGGCCTTCAGTTAGTTTAGAAAATATTTATGCTAATTAGTTATAGTAAGCTTACCTTTTATTGTGACCAAAAACATGGGCGCTGTTTTCGCACCATAGTAGACAAGTCAGTGGGAAAGAAGCCAAACTCTGTAAGATAATTTAAAGAGGTTTACTCTGAGCCAAATTTGAGGACCACAGCCCAGAGCCACGCCCAAGAAGCCTTGAGCAAGTAGACTCTCTGCGGCTGGGTTATGGTTTGGTTTTACACATTTCAGGGAGACAGAAATTACAGGATCAAGTCATAAATCAGTACATGGAAGGCATACATTGGTTTGGCCCAAAAAGATGGGCCATCTTGAAGGGGGGTGCCTTACAGGTTATAAGTGGGTTTAAAGACTCTTTGATTTGTAATTGGTTAAAAAATGAAGCTTTTGTCTAAAGGCTTGGAATGTTTTAAGATAAGGAGGCCTGCTAATCAGAGAGGAGCCACCAGCCATGTATTTGTTGTGTAAATTGAGGGCCTGCAGGTTTGTCTTTGCATTTGAGGCACAAAGGACTTCTGGGGGGAGGGAGGGCATGACCTCTGTCTCTTGGCCAGGATGGGGTCCATTCAGTCAGCCTGTGT